TGTCCCTGTCCATAGCTCTTCGACCCAGAGCCAGTGTCCTACCTTGCAGCAGTAGTAGTGCATGGTAAGTTATGCACTTGTGATGTAACTACTCTGAAATTCCACTCTGTGCATTATCCTAAGGGCAAAATGCATGCTGGTCTTTCAAATCCAGTGGAGTGGATTTCTTGGAAAAGTCTTCCCTGTAACATTCTGTGCCACAGCACAGTCAACTCCGTCCTTCTTTGAGCTCACCAAACACCTTCATTATAGCCCAGTTACTACGTGTGCCACAGCGCTGGCCCCAGTAGTATGTAATTCTTAACAGTTTGCTTTGACAAAACACTGTATTTGCAGCAAAATTGACACACACAGACATATCTTTTTGCTTTTGTTTTTTGATTTTTTAAAATTGTAACTCACACACTGAGAATGACATCATATTTGTCTTTCTGTGTCCAGCTTATTTCACTCAACATGATGTCCTCCAATTTAACCATTTTTATGCAAATGATAGAATTTCATTCTTTTTTAGCTGAATAATATCCCATTGTGTGTGTATATATATATACATATATATGTGTGTATATATATACATATATATATATAAAACATGTTTTTGTTAGCCATTCATCTGATGATATACACCTTGGATAATTCCATATTTTGTCAATTGTCAACAGTGCTGCTCCAAACATTGTGCAGGTATCTCTTTGATGGAATATGTTCGTTTAAAAAAAAAAGTCAAGCTGAATATATCACAATATCTAACTTCAAAGCATATCACAAAGTTATAATAATTAAAAACTGACATAAAAACTGACAGATCCATAGAACACAATAGAGAGCCAAGAAATTTACTCATATATATATATATATATAGTCAACTAATTTTTGATGAAAGTGTCCAGCCCACACATTGAAAAAAGGATAATCTCTTTTATAAATGGTGCTGGCAAAACTGGATGGATATATGTAGAAGAATGAAATTAGATCCCTATCTCTCACCATGTACAAAAATCAACTCAAGATGGATCACAGACATAATTTAAGACTTGAGACTATGAAGTTTGTAGGGAAAATATAGGGGAAACATTTTAAGACTTTGGTATAAGTGATGATTTCTTGGATAAGACCCCAAAAACATAGGCAATGAAAGCAAAACTAGGCAGATGTTATTATATCAAGCTCAGAAGCTTTCATACAGCAAAAGAAACAGTCAACCCAGTGAAGAGACATCCAACAGAATGGCAAAAAATTTGCAAACTACTTATCTGACAAAGAATTAATATCCAGAATATATCAGCAACTCAAAAAAAACTCCACAACTAAAAGACAACCAATCCAGTGAAGAAATGAGTCGCTGTCTGGAGCTGGACAAGTCCAGCTGTAATGGCAGCCTGTTTTGTTTTCAGTTTTCTATCTGGTTTTGGAGTCATGTGGGCATTTCGTTCCAGGAGTGTCCCTCTGCCCATCAGGCTTGAGTCTCATGGTCGTGGCATATGAAACCGAACTTCTAAAACCACTGAATCCTGTGGCACAATCACCCTGACACAGTTGGTGTTTATAGAACAGTTATCCCCAAATGGCAAGATGCACATTGTTTTCAAGTAACATAGAACATTCATCATGAGAGACCACATACAAGGACATTAATGTATATTGGTAAATTCTACATCACTGAAATTGCACAGTGTGTTCTTTGACCACACAGAAATTTAATTCAGAATCAGTAACAAGAATATATTCCAAATATTTGGAATTCAAACAACATACTTTTAAAAAAAAGTTTATTTATTTGTGTGAAAGGCAGAGTTACTGAGAGAGAGGGAAAGAGAGAGAGAGAGAGAGAGAGAGAGAGAGAGAGAGAGAGATCTTCTATCTATCTGCTGGTTCATTTCCTAAATGGCCACAATGGCCAGAGCTGGGCAGGTTAGATACTAGGAGCCAGGAGCCAGGAGTTTCTATGGAGTCTCCCATGTGGGTGTAGGGTCCCAAAAACTTGGCTCATCCTCCCACTGCTTTCCCAGGAGCATTAGCAGGAAGCTGGATCAGAAATGGGGCACCCAGGACTCAAACCAACACCAATACGTGATGCTAGTGCCACAGGTATCTGCTATGCCACAGCACTGGGCCCACAACATACTTTTAAGACATGGATCAACAAAAAAACTATGGAAGAATTTTAGGGAAATTTATGTCTTTAGATAGTTGTATGTGAAAAGGAGAGAGGTAAAATATGAAGCCAGAGAGATGGAAGGAATTAAATTCAAAGTAGAGGAAAGGAAACAATGAAATAAAGAAGATATAAAATGGACACACAATATAAAGAATAAGTGAAAATAAGCACCAATCCATCAAACAAACTAGCAAAATTGATGTAAACTGGATTGATCAAAGAAGTATAACACTTAGACTGCAGTATCTTAGAAAGGATGTGACTACATGTTCTCCAGAAGTAGACAGGCAGGAAATGAATATGATTGTTATAGCTTTCACTATGTCCTTCAAAAAATATTTAAGTCCCAACCTCTATACCTGTTTGTATAGGCGTTTTATGCAACAGAGTCTTTGAAAATATAGTTAAGCTAAGATGAGGTCATTAGGGTGCATCCTAATCTAATATGACTGGTGTGCTTTGTAGAAGAACAAGCCACCTGTGAAGACAGAGACATGTTGGGAGAATGTCATGTGATGTCAGAGCCAGAAATTCAGGGATTCCGCTGAAGTCAAGAAGGACTGAGAACAGACAGTCGCCGCCAGATGCCAGGAAAGTGTAAGGGAAGATTCCACACAGGGTCATAGAGGGAACATGGCCCTGTGGTATGATTCTGAACTTCTGATCTTCAGAATAGTGAGAACAGATTTTGTTTGTCTTAATTCATGAAGTTTATGGTCATTGAAATGGTAGTCCTAGGAAATTAATGAGTTATAAAAACAGCATGCAAATAATTTTGAAAATTTAGACAAGAGACACATTTATTAAAAGACAAAATAAGAAAATTTATAAAATAAACAGAATGTCTAAAATCATATTCATAATTAAAAAGCTTCTCCCAAAGAAAACTTCAGGTTCAGGTTATTTCAGCAGTAAATTTATGCAAATATTTAAGGAAAGAAAATACCCATTCTAAAATCTTTTTTTTTTTTCAAATAATAGTGATGGTCAAAAATATCTCAAAGAATATATAAGGCCAGTATTTTTCCTATAACATAAACAGGAAAGGACACTTTTAAAATACCAATCCCGGCCTGTGCCGTGGCTCACTTGGCTAATCCTCCGCCTGAGGCGTCAGCACCCAGGGTTCTAGTCCCAGTTGGGCACCAGGTACTAGTCCCAGGTGCTCCTCTTCCAGACAAGCTCTCTGCTATGGCTGGGAGTGCAGTGGAGGATGGCCCAAGTGCTTGGGCCCTGCACCCGCATGGGAGACTGGGAGGAAGCACCTGACTCCTGGCTTTGGATTGGCGTAGCGCCGGCCATAGTGGCCATTTGGGGAGTGAACCAATGGAAAGAAGACCTTTCTCTCTGTCTCTCTAACTGTCTATAACTCTCTCTCTGTCTGTCTCACTGTCTAACTCTGCCTGGCAAAAACAAAAACAAAACAAAAACACCAATCCCTTATGGATATAAACACAAAAAATGCTTAAGATAATATTATCCAAGCAAATCAAGCAATACATTAACAAAGAATAGTAACTACATTGCCACCAAGTGGCAGCTACCTAAAAAAGCAGAAGTTTTACTTAACATGTCACTAAAAGAGAAAACTTACATAACCATCTCAAAAAATGCAGAAAAATGCATAACAAAATTAAACTCCTATCCATAGTAAACCTCTCAACAAACTAAGAACTGGAGAGAATTTTTGCAATATGATCAACAAGATATAGTTTAAAAATCCTTTAGCCAAACTCATGTGTAATAGTAAAAAATTAAACTCTTTCTGTAAGGTTTAGAATACGGAAAGATGTCTACTCTTCTCACTTTTAGTTAGCATTGTGCTGGAGGTCCTAGGAGGCACAGTAAAGCCAGGGAAAGAAAAGAAAGAAACTTTCTATATTCTCAGAGAAAATGATTGTGAACAAAGGAAAAGAAAATGCAAAAATCTATGAATAAAAACACCCACTGAAAACAAGTAAATTTAGCAAAGTGAAAAAATATGGGGTCTACTTACAAAAACTAATAACAAGTAAGTTGAAAAAAATCTGAAATTATGAAAAGACATAAGTTTAACAAAGTATGTGTAAATACTATATGCTGTCAGCCCTTAGACATTCTAGTCTGGCTGAAAAGCCCACAAGCACATTTCAGGCATGGAAAGCCAAGAAGCTTTGGCAAAAAATGTCCTACATGAAAGATCTCTGTGGGTGAGACCCCAGTGGAAAGAAATGGTCATCAAAGAAGGATGTACTTTTCTCTGAAGGGAGGAGAGGACTTCCACTTTGCTTATGGCCATGTCTAAATATTGAAGGAGTTTGTGAATTCAAAAGGCTTCCATAGCCTAGGCAGCTCATTTTAAGAGCCTCAGGTGATCACTGACATCATACATAGGAGTGTTAATTGTTAAATTAACAACAGGAGTCACTGTGCACTAACTTCCCATGTAGGACTTTTGTCCTCAAAGAATTGTATTATGAGATTTAACAGTAAAACATGTTCTCAAAGATTTATTTCATTTTAGTGTAATAAGTGGAGGATATTCTTATGTCTCATAAGTTTTAGTTATGCCTAAGTGTTCAACTCCATTGCTTGTTTTCTTAGGTGCTTCCTTAATTAATGATAAAACTCATTCTCAAGGACTTGCTTTCTTTTAATGTATTAAGTGGAGGATATTCTTATGTCTCATAAGTTATAGTTATGTCTAAGTGCTCACAAAAGATGTATCATTCTTGGGTGCTTCTTTAAAGTTAATTAAGTTTCTAAAATTAAAAAAAAGAAGTGAAATTAACCTTGAACCAAACAAAAATAAACTATATTCTGAAAGTACTACATTGCTGGAAGAAACAAAGAAAATCTAACTAAATGAAGAAATAAATTATGTTCATAAATTCTAACACTCGTTGTTAAAAATGTCAACTTTTCCAAACTAAACTACAGATTCAATGTAATGCAGTTAAAATTCCATCCGGCATGTTTAAAGATAATTTGAGAAAATGCAGGAACCTGAGAAAGGCAATACAGTTTTGAAAAATAATGAATTTGGAGGACTAGCACATTTAATTCCAATTGTTGACAAAGTGCTATCATAACTGAGACATTGTATTACATAATTACTGCAACAGTAGGTATAGGAAGAAGAGAGACTCTAGGGTCAGTTAATTTTCTACATAGACACCAAAGTAATCTAATGGAGAATAGAAAAGTCTTTTGAACAGCACAAAACCAACTCTACACCCATATGGAATAATAATAAACCTCAACCATTTCTCAGACACAAAATAATGACATGGATATGAGCTTACAGGTAAATGAAAACTATGAAACTTCCAAAATCAATCATAGGAGAAAATTAAGGGAAATACAAATTTAAAGACATCAGATTCCACTACACACTCACCACAATGGTTAAAAGTTAAAAACACTGGTAATATCAAGTGCTGACAGCAATGGTGAGCAATGGGAACTCATTTGTTGCTTCTGGGAAAGTCAAATGATGCAGCTACATTGAAAAGCAGTCTAGAAGTTTCTTCTCAAATACTCCAAGGTATTTACCAAAAAGAAATGAAAACATATCCCCACACAGAGGCTTGCACATAAATGATCATGGCAGCTTTATTCACAGTAGCCAAAAACCATGAACAAATTGTGGTATACCTGCATAGAATACTACTTAATAACAAAGAGAGTGAGCTACTGACACGTGACAAAGAATGGATTAATTTCAAAAACATGCTGAGCAAAAAGTAGCCATCTACAAAAATGTGCAGGATGCATTTAATTCTAGACTAAGCTAAACTAATTTACAGTGACAGTTAATCTATCAGTGGTCACCTGGGGTCAAATGGATGGCATGATGCAGAAACAAACTTTTGGAGGTGATAGAAATGTTTTAGATTTTGGTTTGATAATGTGTAAGAAGTATACATATTTGGAAAAACCAATATCTCTCATGGCTTATAAATGGGTGCATTTATTGTATACAAATACTATAAAGACTAACTCAGTGAGACTGAGTTTTACAATGTCAAGGTCAAGAAAGAAAGAAAATTTAAGTATCTTTTCCAGATTAAAGGGCATATCATGGGTATCATAATTAGATACACGTATTATTCTGAACTTGGAGAAAAATATTTATTAGTGACATTGTCAGGTCAATGGACAAAATTGGACAAAAGACCATATATATGCTAAATTTTTCTGATTTGGATCATTGTAGCATGATTCTATAAGACAAAGTTCTTTGATGATTGTTTATAGCCCTTGTCTCTTCTGTTGAACAGTGTTTTTTTCTTCATACAATTTGTTGAACTCTTTTACTTAGTGTGGGATTAACCTTATGATCATTAAGTAAACTGAAAGTAGATCTTTGTAAAAATTAAGAGTAGGAATTAGAGAGAGGAGGAAGAAGGGCTCTAGGGTGGGTGGGAAGTATCACTATGTTCCTAAATCTGTATATATGAAATACATGAAACTTGTAACAAATACAATTTGTTAATGCCCTGGCCTGAGGCACTGGCATCCTATTTGGGCACCAGTTCGAGTCCTGGCTGCTCCACTTCTGATCCAGCTCTCTGCTATGGCCTGGGAAAGCAGTAAAGGATGACCCAAGTCCTTGAGCCCCTGCAGCTGCATGGGAGACCTGGAAGAAGCTCCTGGCTCCTGGCTTCGGATCGGCGCAGCTCTGGCTGATGCAGCCAAGTGGGGAGTGAACCATCGGATGGAAGACCTCTCTCTGTCTCTGCCTCTCCTCTCTCTGTGTAACTCTGACTTCAAATAAATAAATAAATAAATCTTTTGAAAAAATTTAAAATAAAAATTAAAAAAAGACAAAGTTCTTTTCTTGGAAAATATTTAGACAAAGGAATATCATGTCTTCAATTTATTTTATCATATGGAGCATCGAGAAGAGAATGGTGAAAGTGAAAGGGAAGGGAGTGAAACAGAACAAAACAAACAATTGATAACTGTAGGTAAAAGTTACATGGAAGTTCCTTGTACTAATGTTTCAAATATTCAGTAAATTGAATTTAAATTTTATAACAAAATAATTTTTAAAGATGAGGTATGCTTCTAGATAGTAAAAATTAACTATATTCTAGTTCTTAATTATATCATCAAGGTCAGATGATACTGATTTGGCTTATCCCATTGAGAAGGAAATGATCCAGGCTGTGTACCAAGGTTCTCTAATCAGTGTTCTGTGTGGCCCAGAAAAACAGAAAGAGTAATTTCTTGGGTCCATAAAGAAAGGAGCAACTTCTTTCCAAGGACAAAATTCTGCAGTTGTCTACAGGAAGAAGATGGTGCTGGGCTCTTATGTCACGTTCCGAAACACCAATTCACCAGCTCACCTCTGTTTCTACATTGGGCTAAACATTGCGGTCAAAAACATGTGTTAGTAGTAATCACAAATTATTACAGAAAACAAAAATAGGACAGCATTTCCAATGTTATCTTTTCTTCTAAGTGCACATTGAATTAGAAATTACAATTGATTTTCTTTTCACAGATGCAGCTGTAGGTTTTAGAGCAATCGATAGCTGATATCCTGTTGACGTCAAAAATGCACATCTTCCTCTCCCAGAAGGCAAATTCATGACTGTGAAATTCCTGTAGAACAGAAAATATAAAGATCAACTGTTTAAATCTGAATTTTCAATGACATAATTCATGATTTTAACTCTATTTTCTAAATTCTTCATATATAGAAACATTAATCAAGCTTCAACACCAAAGATTTTCTTTAGTGCTTGGCCTATTAAATACATTCACCTAAACTCTCCCAGTTTATTCCACACTGGCAATTTTTGATCAGCAAAAAAAATTACTTTTCAATATGGCTCTGAGATTAAAATATACTAAACCTGCTTTCTTATTTTATTTTTTCAATAAAAATTAGGAATTTAAAAGAACTGAATTTCTATGACACAGATAACCAGGTCTCGTGTGCATATACTTTAAGGAGAAAAAATAGAATTGGAATATAGCCAGAGATGAGAATTTTTGATTGATGTTTTTGTTTGTTTTATTTATTTGTCTTCCCCACCCCATAACTAATAGTTGAGCCAAAACTTGACAATCCATTGATAAAGTAAGACACCTATTTCAGAAAAAAAAGTAGGTAGATTGAGGGCAAGAGTTATTTTCTATTGAATATAATTTAAAATACTGGATAAATAAGATGTTGAACCTTCTTGAATATGCTCATCAAATGGCAAGAAGCAGATTCACAGTCAGGCTGAGGGTTAAGTAGAGGTGGAAGTTCAGAAGGGTACCTGAAGCACTATAGCCAGTTTTTCCATTAATGAATGTGGTAGGCTGAACAATGAATTCCATCCAAGATAGAGATTCTAAATAGAAGACAAGCCACCTAAGGCTGAGACCCTGAAATGACATATCTTCAATTTAAATCACTCTAGAACTGTCTTGAGTCTTGAATGTAAGCAGAAGAGGAAAGAATAATCTTACCTAATAATTCAATTTTTGAATTGAATCCCTCATATAATTTGCATTTACTATGTTACTTAAGAATTGTCAAATCTACTACAGAAAAAAAAAAGAGAAAAAACAAATAAGGAAAATGGATGAAATGAATGTAGCTTCAAAGACATAGGCAGAATGTATAATGCACATTAGGTGTGGAAAGGCAAATGAGTAAACTATGAGACATGTTGGGTACAGATAAAGTAAGCAGAGCATGTGTGTGATGAACATAGACATAAAAAAAGGAATAAAGGATCAAGTAGACACCAAATATGCACAAATTTACATGAAGAATACACACATTAAAAGTTTATGAGGTTTAAATTCATCATCCATTGATGATATCCATTCAAGCACTTGTCCAAGACACACAAATTAAATTGAACTACTCATCAGGTTAATCAAAAAGTTGCAGCTTTGGCCAGGCTTATATGCCCCTACATCTCCCTAATACAAAAAATGTATGCACTGACTACAAGAACCTTTTCCTATTGGTATTTCTTACTCAAACCTTAAGTCTGGTAAAGCAAAACGCAGCATGGACAGCTAAAGATTATGCCGCAGAGGGAATCCAGCCATATGAAGACTGCCTCACTTGTGATTCAGGTGATCCTTTCAGCCTCTCATACAGTGTGCTATGGGTTCTAATTGACAGAATTAACTGTGTGGTATGAGCACCTAACTTGGTCTGTGAGAATTTCTGTCCTGTGATCTCTGACATAGTTAGCTGAGCGTGTACTTGGAATATACAAGTATATCAAGGTAATTTCCTGAATGATATCTTTCATGGGTTCCTAGCCATTGTATTCCTACAAAACAAATATTTGCGGGACTTACACTTACTATTAAAAGTAGCCCAGATGTGGGGTGGGTGCTTGATACAGCAGTTAGGATACTACTTTAGATGCTTGCATCCCACATAGGAGCACCTAGGATTGACTCCTGGCTGCACTCCCAAATCCAGCTTCCTGCTGATGCACACTGTGGGATGCATCAGGTGATGGCTCAAGTACTTGAGTCCCTACCACCCATGTGCGAGACCCAGATTGAGTTCTAGGTTCCTGTTCAGCCTGGCTCAGCCCTGACAATTGCAGGTATTTGAGGAGTGAATCAGCAAATGGAAGATCATCAATCCTATCTTTCTCTCTTCTTCTCTTTCCCCCTCTCTGAAATAAAATTATAATAAACAAATAAATAAATAATTTTTTTAAAAAAAAAAGTGACCCAGACTCACAGTGCCCCTAAGCAGTCAACAAAAGCAAATTCTTTCTTGGGGAAGCCACCACCTCCATCACAAACCTTAACTAGTTTCCAAACCAGTTCAGAAAGAAGAAAATGATCACTACGTATTACAAAGAAAATAGCATTATGAACAAAAGGCAGCAAAAACAATAGATTAGACCCACAAAACTCCAAATATTAGAACTACCAGATACCAGCTGTACAATAAATACTTTAATACCTTACAATAAATAAGACACCTTGAAATATTAATGGCCAACAAATATATTGGAAAACATAAAAAGGATGCCTAGAAGTAAAAAGTGTAAATTATTTTTTTAAAAAAATCAATAGTTTAGCAGCAGATCAGAACTAAAGATAGCCCAAATGTTTACATAATGAAAAGAATATATACTCGCTAAAATACTTTCTCCCTAATTCTTCTTTTCTTACCAATGGACTCCACTTGAGATGAGAGACGACTTGTTAGATGCACCCCTTCCAACTCCCACACCAATGTTAGAGTCTGAATACATTCCAGAAACTTACATTCCAGGTGATGTGCCAGCACCAAGCCATTTCCATTTCCATTCCACATCATTAAATGACAATCCAATCCAGCAGGTATTTTTATGAATGTGAAATTGAACAAATGCCTATAAAAGAAATAAAACACATTATGGTACTAAGTTCCCAACTGGTGGATGAATAAGCTGGACAAGTAGAGGGACCAGCTGGGTGTCTATGGCCAGTACCTTGCTGCCACTCTAAATATCACCTTCAGTCTCTACTTTCTAGAAAATCTCAATCCTTCAAACCTTGTATTTTCATTTTTCAAAGCAGCTTTCTCATATTAGACTATTTATATTTGTGAAAATTGGCTGCTGGTCTCCTGGATTATTTAAAACATGGAAAAATTTTAAATTGAAATATCTACAAATAAGAAATTTGTTAAATAATTCATGACACTTATGAAACTACTAAGCTCATGTTCCAAAAGAATATTTAATGGTGTAGAGAAGGGATCATCACATAATCTTAATTGAAAGAAGGGGTCTTCAAAATGAATTTATTAAAATAAAAACAGATTGGGGGGCATGCATTACAGGCTTCAGACTCACAAGAGAAAGCCTTGTTTTAGGTGAGTAGTTGAAAGGGATAAAAGGAAGGGAGGCAGTGTTTGGAAGTGTAAAATATACCTGAAATGTACCATACCAACGTGACATGTAAGTCTGATTAAATGACTGCCATCTGAAATGTAGACTTATATTTATGTTTTACTCTATAAAATAGAATTACTTTGTGACTTTACATCACAAAGTCTTTAATGGGATTTCAAAGATTTATTGTATTGCATATAATTTTTAAGTTGTTTTTTAAAAGATAAATAGAAGTTTCAGGCTGATGTTTGCAAACATTTCTCTATAAAAACACACTTCGTGCATTTGGATTATTTTTCTTAATACTAAATTTAAAAGACAATCTCCAGGTTGGTGATGCAGCGTAGTGGGTCAAGCCGCAACCTGAAATGCCAGCATCACATATGGGTACCGGTTCTTATCCCAGCTCCTCCACTTCTGATCCGGTTCCCTGCTAATGGCCTGGAAAAAGCAGAGCAGCTGAGGATGACCCAAGCGCTTGAGCCTCTGAGACCTCCATGGAGACCTGGATGAAACTCCTTGTTCCAGACTTCCACCTAGCTTGGCTCAACCCTGGCCATTGCAGTTATCTGAGGAGTGACCCAATGGAAGGAAGATATTCTGCCCCCTCTGTCTCCTGTCTCTCCCTCTCTTTCTGTAACTCTGACTTTGAAATAAATAATCTTCTTTTAAAAGAGACTATCTTAATATTGTTTCCACTGTATTTTCTGTTTTTATTTTTTAAGATATGCATCTTGATATTATAAGATTATTAAGTAAATGTGATGTACAGATGCTCTCAAATCACTGTGAGGTTAATTTGTAAAACTGCTATCACTTTGATGGTGCTCATTATCATCTCCATTTTGTAGATAGGCTCAGAGAGGTTAAGAAATTTACTGAAGGTCACCCAGCAACAAGTGGCAAAGTTGGGTTGGAGCCAGGCAGTCTGAATGCTGAGTTCCTGGTAGTAACTCCTAGATTACGCTGCACCCCCACTGCTTGCCACCCCATAGGGAAAAAATAACTGTGGTTCTAGGGTGCAGGTTACCAACAGTTCAGATAAGTACTTCCTCCAAGGAAAGGCATATTTTCTTATTAAGTGGCACTACTGCAGACTCCTTGGAGAGAGAGGATTACAAACTTCACCCTTCCGAATCATCATCATAATAGATCATGTGCATTGAACACTTAATGAGTAGCAGGATCATATGCTTATTAGCAGACAGGGTTTCCAGGGAGATTCTGAACTCTGCAATCTTCCCCACACAATAGGAAAAACAGCTGAAGATCTCTCTTTCTGGACCACCCTCCCCTTCGCAGCATCTTGTGTCACAGAGGAGAGACACATTCATGAGATTGAGAGTACATGGAGGAGTCTGTGATACCAGTTCATGTTCATTGTCAATCTTCAAAAGGGAGGAACCGTAACTTTGGCAAGTTTGTTTACATCCCGTCCAGCTTTTATCTTGCAAAACAAAATAATAGCAGTGTACTCCATAACAGGACCAGTAGTCTTCATAGAGTTTACCTACAACATGTAAGATCAGTCATTAAACTTATTATCTGGTCTTCTGTGAATCAGAACAATATATTTATCAGCTACCCCATAACTGACAAAAAAGGCTCAAATCTATCTATAATAGTAATAATATGGGAATCATAAGGTTCAGGAATGCCGAGAGATAGCTACACTTCCATGTTCAAGGCAGCATTTTCCACAATAGCCAGGATATGCAAGCAACCTAAATGTCCACTGATGGATGAATGATGTGGTACACACATGATGAATGGCATTTACATTTTTCAGCCTTAAAGATGTAGATCCTGCCACCTGTGAAAGCATGGGTGAAACCTGGAGGACGTCATGCTAATGTAATAAACCAGTACAGAACAATGTTTTTTAGATTATAACTTGTTCATTTTATCTGCTTCCAGGGGTGGGGAATCTTTTTTCTGCTTTCATCATTTGGGACTATATAAAATTACCAACTTAAAAATTTGCCGGCTCTTGATTTATTGAATTTTGAGTTGCACATGTGGTTGCCTTGGCAGGGCCAGACCAAATGATTATAAAGTCTGTGGTCTGGATATTCCCCAGCCCTGGGAGGAGTCCCAGATCTGGAATCTCGTGAAAACAATGCCGTTCCACGACTTACTGGCAATGGCACAAAAGGATCACCTAAACTGCCTCATCTGTAAAAGAGGAGGAATAATGAGAGTAGATCCTTGTGATTGTTCTGATTTAGATCCTGTCCCCTGAGTCACTCTCCCACTTGTTCACATACTCGTACCCTAACTACAACAGGGCTCTACTGTTTCCAGACCATAACCATCCGTTTCCCACCTCAGCATCTCAGCACTAGCTGTTCCCTGTGCCTTAAATTCTTTTCCCTCGCTTCTTCCCATCACTGGGGCCTCCTTCTCACCCTTCAGATTCCAGCTTACATGTGACCTTCTCTGAGAGGTGTTTCCTTTCAAGGGAAGAGATTTTTGTCCAATACTCTGTATCACAGATCTGTTTTTTTCTCTGTAGCATGTTTCATAATATGTAATTTTTAAGTAGATCCACCATATGACCCCACTATTCACTTCTGAGTTTACATCCGAAGGAAATTAAATCAGCATATGAAAGAAAAACCTTTGCTCCCCTGTTCATGCAGCACTATTCAGCACAGCCAGGATCTGGAATTAACGAGGTGTCCATGAATGGATGAGTGGATTTTAAAAAGTGAGATATATACACAACGGAATATTGCTCAGAAATAAAAAGAGTGAAATTCTGACCCAGGCAACAAAATAGATGGACCTGGAGATCATTAATTTCAGTGATACAAGCAAGACACAGAAAGACAAATATGACATGTTCTCATCTCTATGCAGCAGTTAAAAAATCACTCATCTGAACTTTTGGCAGTTGATGGATATGTCTATTATCCTTCTTGTGGTAATGGTGTCATAAGGGAATGCTTATGTCCAACTTAACAAATCATGCATATTTAACCCATGCAGTTTTTCTATGTTAATAACACCTTGATTCAACTGTTTAAATATGACAAAATTAAACCAAGCTTTTAAAAACTCTAGTGTGCTTTCTAAATTAAAATACATTTTTGAACTTTTTCTTTTCTCTTCACATATTTATATTTACAATGTAAAATTTTTTAATAATTTAAACATAAAATTTATACTATGTACCAAGGTTAAATACTCAAAACTCTTTGAAAACTCTAAATCCTAAATTTAGTAGTTTTTGATAAATATGGTCAATTCATTCCATCATATGCAAGATAATAAAATTTACTGCATGGGATTTAATATTTTTTATATCTTGGCTATTTTTAATGATTTCAACACATCCACGCTATGACAAATCTTGCAGATAGAGTGCAGGAAGTATATATGAGAGTTCATTAAAAATGGAATTAAAATGTTTATTTTGTTGCAAAAATTTTTGAAACACTTGCAGAGTTTTTTCTATGAGTTATTAAAATTACACTGGTATTAGTGGTCATAAATTGCCAAATATCTGAAGTCAAGGCACCAACATATACACACACCAAACATACACACAAATTATCTTTATAACAGCATTAAGGCCCATTGTAGGCCAAGTATATTTATTGTGAAAGCCTTATATTGCTTATATGTGAGCAACACCCTAAGTCTCACAGCGCCAGAGCAGCTGAGTTCTGAGGGGTGCTGGCATACTGTTTCACCATCTGGGAATGGAGAGGAGGCAAAAACTGCCCTGGAGTCTGGGGAACCACAGGGCTCTACGCATGCAAATATGGTTCCAGGGATTCCAACCCCCTGCATCTGAAAGGCACAAATTCAGAGCTGTCCAGTAGAGCCACAGATCACTAGCCATAGCCTGCTTGTTAGACCTCAAGGCTTCTAGAGGGGAACAAATGATGCAAGAGGACACAGTGAATCCTTCCAGATTTCTTCCATACCTGGATTGTACAGAGATTTCGGGACGGTATCTTCTTTTGCATAACATCCATTCTTTTTTAAAATAAGTGACTCCAGTGCATTTTTCATTAGAAAGGTTTCATATTTGAGAGTGTCATATTCTAAAGTCTTATTTTCCAAGAGTCGCTTCTTTAAATAGTTATCATTTCGTACAAAGTGGTACTTTTGAGTGAGGTTTCCTAGAAATTCCTGCTGTTGATGTTTTTCTTGACTAAGATGGAAAACTAAAATGTGTAGCACAGATATACAAAAATATACTCATGAGGATCAAACAGTGAAATTAAAGACCACCAGCGCAAATGATTACTCCAGTAATTTGACATTTAGAGAGTAACACCTCAATTAACTGACCACAGAAATGGAAACGTCAAATTTCTCACTGTTAGCATCTTACGGATAGCATAAATAAAATACCTGAATAGCATCATGATGGCTAACACCATACCTTACAGTTTAGTTCATTTTTAACAGCACATCATTTACAAATAAGTAGCAAATTAAAATTCAGTTTGTTAACATTTAATGATACATCATCCTAATACAAAAACCTAACCTAGTGGGCAGATGTTTGGTTTAGCTGTTAGGATATCCATGTCCTATATTAGAGTATCTGGGTTCAATCCCTGGCCCCAGCCCTGGCACTTGATTCCAATTTCGTGATAGGCAGTTGTGATAACTCCAGAAGTTTAGCTCCTGCCACCCATGTGGGAGCCGAGAATCATTGAATCCATTACTCCCAACGTAAGCTGCAGGCATTTTGGAAGTGAATCAACAAATGGAACAAACTTCCTTCCTTCCATTTCTCTCTCTGTCTCTCTCTCTCTCTCTCTCTCTCTCTCCCCTGAAATTAAAAAAAAAATCAACCTGAACTAAACAACATGAAGATATGGCACAATTATTATTAGAGTAGATGAAAAAAATCAGAAAATCGACGAGTCCCTACAAATGTAGTATATCCATGGTTTTCTCTAAAGATGAGAAAGAATCCAAATACAAGATAAAGCTTAAATTCAAGTACATCTTGCATCTGTGTTTTCATTCTTCTTACTAAACTATTTCATTATTATATACTAAAATAAGCCAAAGTGTTTATCTCAAACTGACAATGATCTCAACTCAACGTCAGAATACTGCACAATAATCTACCAAAAGGAATGTTCCCATGAATTATGTGGAATGAGACAGCTCATCACAGCTTCAGAGCCAGTGAACTAGGTAAGCAAAATGAAAACCACAGTGTGATATGTTCCTGAAAAAAATCAACAAACTCCAAAACCATCTGGGAGGTTTCCAGATTTTTCAGCAGGGAACATTATTATTATTTATCTGTCCATCAAATGTTTACTGCAATTCCTCAGATTAGAAAGATGGAATTCCATTACTCACTCTTTGTCAGCAACACTATGATCGTCACTGAGAGAAGTAAACAGAGGAATCCAAACGTCACTGCCATGAGATGCCAAGGCACTGAAAATTCTTTAAAGAAAAAAGGAAAGAACAAAAAATTACCAGCAAAAGAGCCTGTTACTACTCACTTTATTTTCCAAGGTCACTGTTTGAAACAAAGGGACAATCGTCTTCAAAAGATTTACAAGAATATTTCATATAAAATGACTTAGATTTATAACATAAAGTTGTGATTTTAAAGTTTAAGATATCTGGCTGATATTTCCTCATTGCAGAGATTTCATGAACAAGAATAGTTCTACTAGGTTTCAAAAGCATATACCTGATACAGTCATCAACAGCAATTGACATAAGACATGCAAGAGAGTCCAAAGTGACATGTGTACTACTTTCTGTGATCACAACTAACCATGAAAAGGAAAAAGCAAGCAATATTCTTGAGAATGCAGTCACTAATAATGCATATTCTGGATTGCAAAAGTGATCACCAATATGAGTATTGTAGATTGCAAAATCAATCAGCGTCCATCCTCACAAAAATTTCTAGAAATCCACTTTCTTCATCATCAGTTCTATTATTCTCTACACAACACTGTATCCTTTTGCTTTTAAGGTCCTCATTATCTAAAAAATTTATCTTTGATTATCACCACATTAAAACAGTAAAAGTTATTCTCAGTTTAGTTTAATTGTGACAATAGGTAGAGAGAGAACAAAAAAATTAGAATGTCCCTTTGATGCAAACATTTTTGAATGCTCATGGTCCTCCAGATTTAATATATATTTAAGGCACTTAAAACATTTATTGTCAGAAAAATAACATTGTTTTTTAACACATATTTTTCATGTCATACATTCTGCAAGACATTTCTCTAAGAAATGCTATGTTTTCGTGAGACACTAGTCTATGATTATTCTTGACCAAACTTAATAAAAGCACTCCATTAGCTCCTCAAATTTCAAGGAATTCATTAATTTCTCCATTCTCTTAACTTCATGTTAAAAAAAAATCTGTTCTACTATTCTAGCTAGTTAATGTTTCTTGTAACCACTTAACATCCAAAAGTCCATAAATTTTTAACCTCAAGTTTGGTAATCCATAAAACAGAGGTGAATTTAGATGCTTAAAATATATACCTTGGGATCAGCATTATGGCCCAGCAGATTAAGCCTCCACTTGTGACGCCAGCATCCCTTACTGCACTGGTTCAAATCTCGACTGCCTCACTTTCAATATAGCTCCCTGCTAATGTGCCTGTGGAAGCAGCAGAAGATGGCACAAGTACTTGGGTGCCAGCCACCTATGTTGGGGACCCAGGTGGAGTTTCAAACTCCTGTCTTTGGCTTGTCCCAGCCCCAGCTGTTGTGGCCATTTGGTGAGTAAACCAGTGAATCAAAGATGTGTTTCTCTCTGTGTATCTCCCCCACCTCAAATAAATAAATACATCTTAAATACATATTTATATATTCTAAGTAATTTAAATAAATATATACCTTTGTTATCAGTTTTCCCAGGCTGTTGAGCGACATCAGGCCTTAATGTATTCTGTGATTCTGAAGAAAACCGAAGATATCTCAAAGATGAATAAGCCATCTTCTGATTGCTGTTCTAGAAGGAGAGCAATGTTTTTGCAGCAGCACTTTGCAACACGATGCTTCCTAAAGAAAAGTGTAAAGAATAAAAAAGACATCTAGTAGATTATTAGTCCTATTTATTCAGTCGATTTCACTCAAAATGTGCAACATACGTATAAAAATGTTAGGTAAAATTGGTACCACATCAGATATCTGAAACACGTTTAAATGGTTGATTCTAACAATAAGAATTCTACATTCTGAAAGAATAAATGGCTTGGCTTAAGAAACACATATCTTGACATGCATATAAATGTTTTTAAAAGCTCTTCTTTTCAATTACACATGGCTCTATCAGAGTGCTTCCCAAAGTATATCTTATACACTAACTGTAAATGATTACATGAGGGTGAATATCACAAGTTGGTGAACATTTCCAAGTCCAGTGTCCTGTGCAAGATAAGCTGAATAAAAATCTCTTAGGTTCCCGTATGTGATGTTGCCATCAAAGCTTTTGTCAGTAGGTACTTATTAAATAATGTCCAGTAAGGGTCAGTCTAGTAATAGATATCAGTGAAAAGAAATATTAAACAATAAAATTTAAAATTTACTTTGCTTTTTTACATTAATTAGTGAGAAAAGATAGTATCCAAGAAGAGAAAATATGTAGAAACAAATTGAACATGTCATTGTTCTTTTATGTTTTATTAATTTACAAATTTTTCTATGCTTAAGTATTCACACATTCTCTAACTTCCTACTAAAAAGACCTTTCTGCTACAGAATCCTTCAATAGGGATGCATAATATGTAAATAATTAGCACCAAAAAATAAATAACTCCTCAACTAGGTCTTCTTTATGTTCAGAACACAAAGCATAACTCATAGCATATTGAGAAAGAGAAGATAACTCATCCTGGACGCTGAACCTCAATTCTGACACGCTGCAGAGTCCGTGCAATTCTAACGCAGAGAGGGAATGCTTTCCTACCACGCTCCTTCTCAGGCCAAGTCACTTGTAGTTCAGTGCCATATTCCTAGAATAAGTAGTATTAATAAGACAACCAGGTGCAAAGATCCAAGGAAATAAATGCAGGTGTTACCTGGATCTGTGCCGTGCAGTGATGCAGGTGGAAGAAATGGCCCCCCAATATGAGGGAGAAGTCGTCCACGCCGGTCCAAGATCCCTTAGGGGCTCCACAACGAGAAGCGAATTGCCTCTGAGTGAGGATACTCCGACTCAAAACGTTCTGCCCCTCCCGGTGAAAAAGTGATAAGAGGAAACTGAATGATGAAAGCTGTTGTTTACAGGAAAGGAAAGATGGTCACGCGCTGTGTCTTCCTCCATTTCAACTAATCATTAGGTACTCTGCAAAACAGCACTCAAACTTAACATTTGCAGATTGAGAAGATAAGGCAACACATGGTTGTGGAAAACAAGAGGAATACCTCTCACAGAAAATTAACAAATATAAAACAAGCCACTAGTCAACGGGATGAATAAAACCCCTATGTGTTTATACTTACACAAGAAGGATCACAACTCAATACCTTAGCTCTTGGATTAAGTAATTTCCTCTCTGTTGAAGACAATCTCTTACATGTTACTATATGAAAAAAAAAGTTTTTCATTTTTGGACTCATGTGGGCTGCAGGTGAATGTGTTTTTAAAATTATTTTAAAACATATCATTCCCCTATAAAAAAATGTGGTTTATATTCTTTTAGTTTTTTGTTCAGACATCATGTTACTACCAAAGTTGGTATCATTATGTAGTGTTTCCAATTTATTCTTTTCCAATAAGTGTTAGCGTTTCTTCACTTTAAAAGTATTCATCTAAAATGTAAATTATTCATTTTTTATATATTTGAAAAGCAGAACAACAAAGAGACAAAAGAGATCTTCCATCTGCTGATTCACTCTCCAAATGTCCATGACAGGGTTGGTTGGGCTTGGTAGAAGCCAGTAGGGTTTTACCCATTGCACCACAATGTTCAACCCTAAAGCATGATTTAAAAAAACTATATATGGTTAATATCCACATGTTTATACCCATAATTTATTTAAGCAACCCCCTATTATTGGACATCTAAATTTTTTCCAATTTTTTCTAGTGTAAAAATATTTGGCCTGTAACTTCAGTGTTTTCTAAGAAAATTATTTAAAACATAAAATTATAAGGTCGAAGGGTATTTATACATTTAAAGAACTGGGATATACATTATCAAATTCCCTCCAGAAAGGTTGTTCGCCTCTATATTCCACCAGTTGTGTGTGAAAATATTCACATTTGACTTTTTAATAAATGTGTTCATTCATGTAAAGGCAAAGAGACAGCGAGAGAAGCAGGGGTGGAGAGGGGAATCCTACATTTGCTGATTCATTCTTCAGGTGACTCTGTCTGGGTCTCCCACAGGAATGGCAGAGGCCAAGCACTTGGGACATCACCTGCTACTTTCCCAAGCTCATTAATGGGAAGCTGAGTGGAAAGCGAAGCAGCAAGGACAAGAAGACAGAGTCAGTGTCTCAAATAGTGATTAACCCACTGCCCACCACACTGGCCTCTCACATGGAATTTCTGGAAAAGGCAAATAGCTTCTTTAATGAGAAGATGATCATCACTAGAAGATGACAGTAATTTAAGACAGGATTAATCGAAACACCCAATATGTCCCTTTGATCAAAACACAGAATTGAGAGCGATATTTTATCACTGTTAATAAAAGAGAAAGATAATTTTGATGGATATGTGAATTTTTTAACAAATAAAAAGCACATCATTTCATTTGTTACAATGAATAGTAAATGAGAGGTATTAATTCAAGAGAGCCGCAGAAAGCTTTTTTTATCCACAAAATAACAGAAAGGACAAGCACCTTCAACACCCATGCCTTCGGTTGTTTTTTTTCTTTTGGTCTCTGTTCTCTTACCCACATCAGTCTGCTGTTTCCAGAATGGAATCTTTCCTTCAAACGTTATATACGTTAGAAGGCTAGTCTGTTAGCTTGCTTTCACAATATGATTGTGGTCCCTAAGTTATCTGAGGTTTCAGCTTCATCTCAAGGCCCATTATTATTTTCCCTAAAAAGCTGCAGGTGAATGAGGTAGAAAGGGCAGAGACCTGAGATGGAAATCAGCAGAAAGGCCAAACGTGTGGTTCCCACAACCCTAAAGGACAGCAGGACTCCCAAAGCTGAAAATGCCAAAAGCACTGTGAACCACACAACTGTGGGGAGTAAATGCCTTCAGTGTCTCTGTGAACCACACAACTGTGGGGAGTAAATGCCTTCAGTGTCTCTGTGAACCACACAACTGTGGGGAGTAAATGCCTTCAGTGTCTTCTGTAACATGGGCCACAGAGCAAAAATCTGGATGGTGTCACCATGATGAAGGTATGCAAGGACTGCAGCAGGTGCGAGGCTAGGCAGATGAAAGTGAAGATGGCCATGTTCAAGGACTCTGTAGGACACAATTCCGCCCTTCACCTCCAACAATGAGATCAAACAAAACATACCCAATCAATGAAGCCAGGCCAGTCCCAAAAAGCCAGTGGGTGCCTGAGGACCCTTATCCATATACCACCAAATAATCACAAAAACACAGACACTGCACAGCTGCGTACCACCACACTGGACTCAAATACCAAGACCAGTGTTGGCATTCTGGAGCATAGATCTGTTTCTGGAGCTCTCCCAGGGACCTCTGGTCCATGTAGTTGTCACAGAAGGGACAGACCTTCTGCCACTGACCTCCTTGGTGTTATTTACAGGTTGGGCACACATTGTCATTTCCTTCCCTCGGGTCGGCTCAATCTCCCTAGCAGAAGCCATGTGTTCTCCTTTGCCATCAAGTGTTGAAGTTAAGACCTCTCTGGAAATTGCACACTGTGCTGCAATTGATATTCCACTTACCTTTCCAAGTTTTCAAAAGCAGCAACCCATGGCCGGCGCCCCGGCTCACTAGGCTAATCCTCCGCCTGTGGCGCCAGCACCCCGGGTTCTAGTCCTGGTCGGGGCGCCGGATTCTGTCCCGGTTGCTCCTCTTCCAGTCCAGCTCTCTGCTGTGGCCTGGGAGTGCAATGGAGGATGGCCCAAGTGCTTGGGCCCTGCACCCCATGGGAGACCAGGAGAAGCACCTGGCTCCTGGTTTCGGACCAGTGCAGTGCGCCGGCTACAGTGCGCTGATCGCAGCGGCCATTGGAGGGTGAACCAACGGTAAAGAAAGACATTTCTCTCTCTCTCTCTCTCTCTCTCTCTCTCTCTCACTGTCTGCCCTGTAAAAGAGAAAAAAAAAAAAAAAGGCGGCAACCCAGGCTAGGTCTACAAAAAGGAATTTGTCCTCCAAGGCAGAGCAACACAGCCAACTTCCTTATTTCTACCATGAAGACCCTGATAGGTTTTCCTTTATAAGCCTGACACCCTGGGAGTCCCCCTCACTATAGCAGGGACCCCAGCCCAAGCATCTCACAGCTGCCACCCAGGCCAAAGAGTCCGCAGTGCTGAAAAGAGCAATGCTTATAAGCAGGGTCGGAGATTCAACTGAGGTGGGCTAGAGCACAGTAGGGAGTGCCTGGGGTAGGTGCCCTGTTCACCCTCTGGGCCTCACCAGCTCACCACAGCTCACTCAGCATTCAGCCAGTGAGGGGCAGGGGAGGAGCAGAAGACCTGAAAGCCTTGCAGCACTCAGGGGTGTTTTTAATGTTCTGTATGCTGTCTCCAATTTTCTCTTTCGTGCAAACCACGCAACACACATACACAAGCTCACAAATATGGAGATGTCAAGAGCTCACTTGTTTTCTCACTGCAAAAGCCTTTTTTATTAAATTTAAGAAACCACGTAATTACCATTCCTTTGGGCTTACACAGTTAGCTAGATAAGCCAAGAACACAGCTTAAGGCCACACCATGGGTTCACAGTAGCTGTGGCTCTTCCGGTCCGGGCTGAGTGAAGGACATTTGGAATAGACACTAGTACACAGCGAAAGCTGGTCTGAGTCACTGTATTTGGAGGAGTAACCACCCAGGTTCCCACCTCTTATTTATTTATCTTTTGTCCAGGGACTAACTTTAAATTTCCTGGCTTTTATGGTAATAAATAGAAACCTCTGGTTTGAGATCTCCTGTTCCTCTAGCCACTCCATTTATTTTTATCTTTGCAATCAAAGGATTCTAATGGTCTAGATTTATTTTGTGATTGTATATATTCATGAGTCAGAGAGGGGCCTCCTTTGTAGCTCAGTGTTGGCATCCCATATCAGAGTGCCAGCTCGAGCCCCAGCTGCTCTGCTTTTGATCCAACTCCCTACTAACGTGCCTAGTAAAGCAACAGAATATGGTCCAAGTCCTTGGGCCACTGCCACCCACATGGGAAACTTGGATGGAATTCTGAGCTTCTGGCTTCTATGCTCTCCAAATGCCTGCAATTGGGGTTGGACCAAAACTGAAAGTAGGAGTCAGGAACTCAATTCAGGTCTTCTGTGTAAATGGCAGGAACCAAATTACTTGAGCCAGAACCTACTGTCTCCCAAGGTATTTATCAGCAGTGAGCTAGAATCAAGAGATGGAACCAGTAATTGAAGATAGGCACTCTGATGTAGGATACAGAAATCTTAATCACAAGGCCAAACACTTTCCCCCTAATGGCTGAGATTTAAAACACTCTACATTGCCCCAACTGGGCCTCCAGTCATCAAACAGTAACCACCCTTCCTGTGATTTCTAAGTAGTCAAACGAAAGTGACATTTCAAAAACTAAGAATGACGACAGCAAGAAGAATTTCACGAAGCTGTGTGGACTCTGTGCCACTAAGGGATAAAGTCTAGTCACAGGATGAAAGGGAAATTGGTTAAGCACTCATCTGCAAAGAAGATTTCTTAATCTTAAATCACCTTATCCCATGATTCAGAGGAAGGGGACCAGGGATGTTGAGAGATCTCCAAACCGTTTATCATCTGTAGACTCTTCTGAGGCAGACCCTACACTCATTGTCAATCATTGTGCCTGACCTCTGTTATTTTTATTCATTGTTTTTTATTTTTCTAGTCTAGCTAATTATCCATTAATGCTAGAAATCCTATTATTGAAATAATCATATGGATCAGTGGATGAACTCACAGCGTAATCTATGTTCATGAGTCTCACATATTCCAAACCAAGACACAGTAGCCTGAACAGGATATATAAAATAGTCTCAGTTATCATTAATACTCATGTTTAAACTCCTGTTTAAAATGGTTACAAAGAGCTGCTGTTAACAAAGTACCAAATATTTGGTGACTCAAAGCAGCAGAATTTATGGTTTCACTGTTCTGGACACCAGAAGTCAATATTCAAGGTATTTGCAAAATCACTTCTGGAGCTCTCGGGGAGGGAATTGGTTCTGTGCCTTTCTCCCAACTTCTGATATTGGCCAGCAATGCTAGATGTTTCTAAGCTTGTAGACCTAAAACACCAGCTCCTGTTCTCTCCTCTGTGAATCAATGTCTTTTCCTACCCTTTATAGGGACAATCATTATTGTATTTAGTACTCACCATAGTACAGCCTAGTCCCTAAAATACATCGCCAGATAAGGGCCCATTCACTTTGGAGATACCAAGGATGAGGACCTCGGTATGCATTCTGAGGGGACATGATTTGACCTACTACACTACTGAATAAGGAATTCTGAAAGTGAGTTCATCCAGCAAGCCCTGCAGGGGATTCGGATGGTCAAACTGTCTGACACCCACTGACACCGACCATTTTGTCCTTTGGACTTTTCACTGGCTTGCCCAGTGGCATCTCCAGCTGCAATACCCCAGACAGCAACCCAATGCTCTTTGTTGTAGAAGTTTTTTTAGCCAGTTTTGATGCTTGAACCTTTTTCTTGCTGAGATGAACAATCATAAGAAAATAAAGCCTTTGGCTGCTACACTTCTGATCCCAGCTCTCTGCTATGGCCTGGGAAATCAGTTGAGAATGGCCCAAGTGCTTGGGCCTCTGCACCTGCGTGGGAGACCTGGAAGAAGCTCCTGGCTCCTGGCTTCGGATCAGCACAGATCCGGCCATTGGGGCCAACTGGGAAGTGAACCAGAAGACCCCCCTCCATTACTCTTCCTTTCAGGTAAATAAATAAATCTTAAAAAAAAAAACATAACCAATAAACTGATCAGTTTATTGATAACATGCCCTGGGCATCATTCATTCATTCATCAAATAATTATGTAGTGTCTACTACAGATAGACCCTTTAAGACTCCATGGCAAAACAAAGATAAATTTTAAGGCCTGAGAAAACATACACGATAGTGGATAAGAAAGAAGAAAACTTTAAAATACATGAAACAGAAAAGAACATGATTACAGCAAGAAGTAACAATAATCTCATTTGGACGTTTCAAAATCATTTTTTCAATAGCTGATAATTAGAACCAAAATATTAAGACAATAGAAAGCCTGGACAAAGTGACCAACTAATGGAGCCCAGAGATGGCTAAGATGTAACCCTGGGCAGGGGTCAGGGCCACAAAGGGCCAAGAGACTCAAGCCTGACCTACAGACTCAAAGCTGAGGTGCAGAGGGACACACCTGGAACAATGTGCCTCCACGACTCAAAAACAAGACAGAGAAACTGAAAACAAAACAGGATGCGGTTACAGCTGGACCTGTCCAGCTCCACATATCGACTTCCCTGTGATGAGAAGGACACTGGTCACTAACTGACATGTTTACAAAACCCTGCATTCGCTCCCTCATTTCCCAAAGAATATAACCCCTGGACAACGTCCCCTTAATGGCATCCCTGCCTGGGGGCTCTCCCACTGTGGGAGCTTTCCTTTGCCTCAATAAACTTGCTTCTCTGCTCGCCCTTCTCTGTCTGTGCTCCTCATTCTTCAAGGTCATGGCACACAAACGCGAACTTCTAGAACTACTGACTCCTGCGGTACAATCACCCTGACACAGTTGGCATTTATGGAACAGTTAATCCCCAAATGAGAAAATGCACATTGTTTTCAAGTACATGTAGAATATTCATCATGAGAGACTACATACAAGGACAGTAACATGTACTGGTAAATTCTATATCATTGAAATCTCACAGTATGTTCTCTGACCACAAAAAAAATTTAATTCAGAATCAGTACACAAATATATCTAGAAAATCCCAAAGTACTTGAAAATTAACCAGCATACTTTTTTTAAAAAAGTATTTATTTATTTATTTGAAAGGCAGAGTTACAGAGAGAGAGAGAGAGAGAGAGAGAATAGAGAGATCTTCCACCCATTTACTGGTTCACTCTCCAAATGGCCACACAGAAAGAGCTAGACGGGTCTGAAGCCAGGAGCCAGGAGCCAGGAGCCAGGAGTTTTTACTGAGTCTCTCACATGGGTGCTGGGGCCTAAACACTTCGGACATCCTCCTGCTGCCTTCTCAGGTGCATTAGCAGGAAGTTGGATTAGAAGTAGGGCAGCCAGGACAGAGTCCCAGAGTCAGTTCGAGTCCTGGCTCTCCACTTCTGATCCAGCTCTCTTTCAAATAAATAAGTAAATCTTTAAAAACATATTCTTTATTTATTTGAAAGGCAGATTTACAGAGAGGCAGAGAGAGTGAGAGAAACAGAGACAGAGAGAGAAAGAAAGAGAGAGAGAGGTCTTCCATCCACTGGTTCACTCCTCAGATGGCTGCAATGGCCTGAACTACGCCAATCCAAAGTCAGGAGCCAGGAACAACTTCTGGGTCTTCAAAACGGTTGCCAAGGCCCAAGGACTTGGGCCACCTTCTACTGTTTTCTCAGACCATAGCAAAGAGCTGGATCACAAGTGGAGAAGGCGGCCGGTGCCGCGCCCTCAATAAGCTAATCCTCCGCCTGCAGGGCCGGCACCCTGGGTTCTAGGCCTGGTCGAGGCGCCGGATTCTGACCCGGTTGCTCCTCTTCCAGTCCAGCTCTCTGCTGTGGCCTTGGAAGGCAGTGGAGGATGGCCCAGGTCCTTGGGCCCTGCACCCACAAGGGAGACCAGGAGAAGCACCTGTCTTCTGGCTTCGGATCAGCGTGATACGTCAGCCGCAGCAGCCATTGGAGGGTGAACCAATGGCAAAAGGAAGACCTTTCTCTTTGTCTCTCTCTCTCTCACTGTCCACTCTGCCTGTCAAAAAAAAAAGTGGAGAAGGCAGGACTTGGGTGCCAGTGCTGCAGATCAGGGTTTTAACCCACTGTGCCACAGTCCCCTCACAGCATACTTTTAAGACATGCGTCAACAAAAAAAATTTTGTAAGAACTTTAGGAAAATTTATCCCTTTAGATAGTTGTATGTAAAAAGAAAAGAGATAAAATACAAGTTTTCACTTATGAAGCCAGAAAGACGGAAGGAATTAAATTCAGTAGAGGAAAGGAAAAAATGAAATAAAGAAGATATAAAATGGACAAACTATAGAAAGAATAAGTAAAATGAAACACCAATTCATAAAAAAGTAAAATTTATATAAACTTCTAGCTAGACTGATTAAAAAAGGAAAAAACTTACACTGCAGTATCTTAGAAAAGAAGTGACTACAGGTCCTCCAGAAGTAAACAGGTGGTAAATGAATATGAATGTTATAGGTTGCACTGTGTCCTTCAAAAAATATTTAAGTCTTAACCTCTATACCTGTGAGTACAGGCTTTTTATGCAATAAGAGTCTTTGAAAATATAATACAGCTAAGGTGAGGTCATTAGGGTGCACCCCAATCTAGTATAACTGGTGTCTGTATTAGAAGAGCAAAACACCTGTGAAAACAGAGACACAAGGGGAGAATGTGATGCGAGATGTCAGAGACAGAAATTCAGGGATTCTGAAGGCCAAGAAGCACCAATGGGGAAATGGCATTGTGGCAAAACAGGTTAAGCTGCAGCCTGCAATGCCAGAAACCCATATGGGCGATGGGTCGATTCCCAGCTGCTCCACTTCCGATTCAGCTTCTGCTAAAGTGCCTGGGAAGGCAGTGGAAGATTGTCCAAGTCTTGGACTCTTGCACCCACATGGGGACCTGGAAGATGCTCCTGACTTTGTCCTGGCCCAGCCCTGGCCTCTGCAGCTATTTGAGGAGTGAACCAGCAAATGGAAAATCTCTATCACTCTCTCTTTCTCTTCCTGTAACTCTGCCTTTAAAATAAATATAATTTTTTGAAAAAAAAAAAAAAAGTAGAAGCAGCAGCATCACCAAGGAACAAGGATAGGTGACCACCACCAGATGCCAGAAAGGTGCAAGGGAGGATTCCACTCAGGGTCACCGAGGGAATGTGGCCCTGTCACCATGATTTGGGCTACTTTTATTTATTTATTTTTAAGATTTCTCTATTCATTTGTAGCAAGCAAGCTACAAAGGCTCCAAAGTAATCCAATAGAGGAAGGAAAAGTCTTTGTAACAGTGCAAAAACAATTGCATATCATAAGCCTCAACATTGTTCTCAGATACAAAATAACTGCAAATGTATGCAAACCATCCATTAAACTAAAACTATATAAAACATCTAAGAACAATCATAAGAGAAAATTAAAAGAAATATAAATTTAAAAACACCAGATGCCACTGCGCACTGACCACAATAGCTAAAATTAAAAATGGTTCAGGATATCAAGTGTTGACAATAATGGGGAGCAACTGAAACTCAAATTTGTTGCTACTGGGAGAGTAAAATATTGTAACTACATTGAAAATCATTCTAGGAGTTTCTTATCAACTTGAGCATTTACTTACCTATGATTAAGAAATCAGAATCTTATATAGTTATTAAAAAGAGACAGAAATATATCCCCACACAGAGATCAGCACATAAATGTTTATGGCAGCTTTATTCACAGTACCCAAAAGTGAGAAACATATCAAATGTCCATAACTCAGTGGACAAATGTGCTCTAGCTGAATATTAGAATACTATTATAATAACGCTAATAGAATAATAATAGAATAATAATACTATTATAATAATAATAGAATACGTGCACAGGATGCATGTAGTTCTAGAATAAGCTAAACAAATTGATAGTGACAGAAGAGCATCGCTGGTGGACAGGGGCCAGGTGGCTGGTGTGAGGGAGAATGGAAGTTCTGGAGCTGATGGAAATGTTTTTGATTTGATAGCGTGTAAGAGGTAAACAGGTTAAAACCTATATCCCTCATGACTTAAATGGGTTCATTCTATTGTATAGATAGTCTAACTCAATAAGGTTGACGTTTTTTAATTTCAAGGTCAAGAAAGACAAAGAAAATTTAAACAGCATTTCCAGATTAAAGGACATGCCATCGATATGATGGTTAAATGCATTGTATTATTGTGAACATGGAGAAAAATACCCTTAAATGACATTATTAGGCCAATGGATAAATTGGAATGTGGTTTATAGATTAGATCATAATGCTGTTTCATTGTTAAATTTCCTGATTTTGATAATTGCAGCATGGTTATATAAGACAAAGTCCTTTTCTTCAAAAATATTCAGAAACCAGGACATATCTTCAATTTATTTTCAGGTGGGTCGACAATGAGAGCAAGAGTGAAGGAGAAACAGTGTACAACACAGCAAAATACAAACAACTGATAACTGTGGGTAAAAGTTACATGGGCTTGTCTTGTAGTATTCTTTCAACTATTCAGTAAATGCTGTAACAAAATTATTTTTAAAGATGAGGTATGCTTCTAGGTAGTAAAAATATAACTATATCCTAGTTCTTAATTGTACTCCCACGGTCTGATAACATTGACATGTTTTATCCTATTGGTAAGGAAAAGATCCAGGCCATGCATTAGGATGCTCTAACAGGTCCCGGGTTGTTCAGGGAAGCGGGAAGAGTGATGCCTGAGAACCACAATAGAGGAGCAGCTGCTCCCAAACACGAAGCTTCCACTCCCCACAGGAAGAAGATGGCGTCTGGCCTCCTGATCAGGGCTCAGGAGAAGATGTGCTTCCTCTTCCAGCTCCTGTGTCCACACTGCACTGAGCCCTGCAGTCAGAAACAGGTGTTAGCAGTAACCCCAAATTACTACAGGACACAAAAGCAGGGCAGCATTTCCAATGTTACCTGTTCTTCTAAGTGCACATTGAAGAAGGGAAATTACAATTAATTCTCATTTTACAGATACAACTGTACGTTTTAGAGCAATCGCCATCTTCTACTCTTGTTGAGGCCAAAAATCCACATTTTCCTCTACCAGAAGGTAAACTCATCATTTTCAAATTCCTGCAGAACAGAGGTCAACTGTTTAAATCCGAATTTTCCAATGAAATCTTCATGAACGTTTTAAATTCTATTTCTTAAATTACTGATAAATATAAATGTTTTTCATAACTTCAACATTAGATTTTCTTTGTCTTAGCCCATTAAACACATTTACCTAAAAACTCCAAGTTGATTCCACACTGGCAACTTTTGGTCAGCAGAAAAAGTGACTTTGCAAAATGGCTTTGGGATTATAATATACCAAACCTACTTTCTTATTTAATTTTTTAGTAGAAGTGAGAATTTTAAAAGTAGAACTGAATTTCTGTGACATGTGCATATGCTTTAAGGAGAAAAAACAGAATGAAATATAATCATAGATTAGAGAGTTTGATTGATGTTTTTATTTATTTATTTGTCTTCCCCATCAATAAACAGTAGTTAAGCTAAACCATGGCAATCCACAGAAAACTATCAAAGCATGGTGTCTATCTAAAAAAAATGGTTCATTAGGTGGCAGAACTACTTTCCTAATTAAAATTAGTTAAAATGATGGATAAATAAGATGTTGCACCTCCTTGAATATGTTCATCAGTCAGCAAGAAGTAGATTCACACTTGGGCTGAGGGTTCAGTAGAGGCAGGAGTACATATGTGGGGGTTTTTGTGATTCTGAATTCTTAGTTGAGATTATTCTTTTTTCTCTTTTGCTTAAATGGAGGGTTCAAGACCATTTAGAGTGTTTTTTGTTAATGTTTATTTATTTATTTGAGAGGTAGAGTTACAGACAGAGACAGGGAGAGACAGAAAGAGAGGTTTTCATCTGCTGCTTTGCTCCCCAAATGACCACAATGGACAGAGCTGGGCCAATCTGACGCCAGGAGCCAGCAGTTTCTTCCAGGTTCCCATGTGTGTGCAGGGATCTAGGACTTGGGCTGCCTCCAATGCTTTCCCGGGCCATAAGCAGAGAGCTGGATCAGAAGAGGAACAGCCAAGACACGAACCGTGCCCATATAGGATGCTGGTGCCACAGGCTGAGGCTTAACCCACTAAGCCACAGCACCCACACCAGGAATAACTACTGTTAAGTCAGGATGGTACAAGCACTTCATATTTCCCTAGATAATGACTGTGTTTCATTTTCTGTGTTTCATAACTCATACTGCATGTGTTTGATATGCTTTTATCATTAATAATGATATATAACAATTCTCTATTAACACCACTTGCTAAAATACTTTCTTCCTAATTCTTCTGTTTTACTAATGGACTCTACTTCAAAAAAACTGTGAAATGAGCAATGACTTGTTAGATGCAATCCTTCCAACCCCCACACTAATGTTAGAGTCTGATACATTTCAGAAACTTACATTCCAGGTGATGTGCCATCATCAATCCATTTCCATTTGTTTTCCATTTCACTATATGACAATCCAATCCAATAAATATTTCCATGAATCTGAAATCGCACAAATGTCTATAAAGGAAACAAAACACATCATGGGAATAAGTTCCCATCTGTTGGAAGAATGAGAAGACAGACAGGTAGAGGGACAAAAGCTGTATCCACAGCCAGTACTCTGCCACTCTCCACAACACCCTTCATCCCTGCTTCCTAGAAAAATCTCTCATTCTTCAAAACCTATATTTTCATTTTCCAAAGTACATTTCCTTAGGAGATTACTTATATAAGTTAAAATCGCCTGCCAGTCTCATAAATTACTTAAAGCATGGAAAATGTTTAAATTAAAATATCTACAAATAAGAAATTTGTTAGATAATGTATGACACTTCAGAAAACTATTCAAAGTCATGATTCAAAAGAATATGTCATGGTGTAGAGAAGGTAGCACTGCATGATCTTAAATGAAAGAAGAAGTCTTCAAAACAAACTTCTTAAAATAAAAACTGATTGTGTGGGGGGTGTGCATTACACTCTTCACTCACAGAAGAAAGCCTTGCTTTTAGGTAAGTAGTTGGAAGAGATAAAAGGGGGAATAAGTATTTGGATATATTAAAAATGTCTAAAATGAACTATAACCAGGCCGGCGCTATGGTGCAGTGGGTTAAAGTGCTGACCTGAAGCACCGGCATCCCATATGGGCACCAGTTCTAGTCCCAGTTACTCCTCTTCTGATCCAGCGCTCGTAGACTATGGTGCACCCCCACTGCTTGCCACCCCATAGGGAAAAAATAACTGTGGTTCTAGGGTACAGGTAACCAACAGTTCAGATAAGTACTTCCTCCAAGGAAAGGCATATTTTCTTATTAAGTGGCACTACTGCAGTCTCCTTGAAGAGAGAGGATTACAAATTTCACCCTTCCTAATCATCGTCATAATAGATCATGTGCATTGAACACTCAATGAGTAGCAGGACCATATGCTTATTAGCAGACAGGGTTTCCAGGGAGATTCTGAACTCTACAATCTTCCCCACACAATAGGAAGAATAGTTGAAGATCCCTCTTTCTGGACCACCCTCCCCTTCACAGCCTCTTGGGTCACAGGGGAGAGACACATTCATGAGATTGAGAGTACATGGAGGAGTCTGTGATACCAGTTCATGTTCATTGTCAATCTTCAAAAGGGAGGAACCGTAACTTTGGCAAGTTTGTTTACATTTCTCCCAGGTGTTATCTTGCAGAACAAAATAATAGCAGTTTACTCCATAACAGGACCAGTAGTCTTCATGGACTTTACCTACAACATGTAAAGTCAGTCATTAAACTTCTTATTATCTGGTCATCTGTGAATCAGAACAATATGTTTATCAGCCGCCTATAACTGACACAAAGGCTCAAATCTATCTATAAAAATACTAGTGGCTGGTTAAGGTTGAGGGTGGAGGTTGGCAGTGTGTAGAGAGAGGTTAGCTAAGTCCCAAAACACAGTCAGGTGCAATATCAAGTTTTAGTGTTCCTTCAGTCAGTAGGGTGACCATACTTCACCAGGATAAATTATCACTGAAGAACTGGAAGAGGGGAGCTTGTAGGCTCCAAAAACAAAGAAAGGACAGTAAATGAAAAGGCTAAATGTGATTGGTTTGCACCATATTTATGTGTTAAAATATTACATGAGACCCATGCTATGTCCAAGTAGTATGTTCTGATCAAAAATGTTTAAATAGAATAATTCTTTTAAAATGCTTAAAGTGTTACTACTGCATTAGATTGTGAGGATATAGTCTGACAAGACAAGAGTCCAGCAGTGTGGGGAGACACCAATACACGGGAGATAACTCCTCATGATTCCACTTCTCTGAGGTATCAGCAGTGGCCAAAACTATGGGAAGACAGAATATGATGGTGGTTGTGCAGAGCTTGAGGGCAGGGAAATGAAAAATTCTGTGCTCTGAGTGTAATCTTTCAGTTATGTGTGAGGAATAAGTTCCAGAGATCTGCTGTACAACATAGTGCGCACGGTGAGGGACACTGTATCATACACTTAAAATTTAAAGCTCTCACAGTCAGTGTTCTTACCACAAGTGAACAACATAAGGACACGTTGGGAGGTGATGTAGAAGTCTATTATCCTGGCCAGCGCCATGGCTCAATAGGTTAATCCTCCACCTAGTGGCACCGGCACACAGTGTTCTAGTCCCGATCAGGGCGCCGGATTCTATCCTGGTTGCCCCTCTTCCAGGCCAGCTCTCTGCTGTGGCCTGGGAAGGCAGTGGAGGATGGCCCTGCTTGGGCCCTGCACCCCATGGGAGACCAGGAGAAGCACCTGGCTCCTGCCTTCAAATCAGCGTGCTGCGCCCGCCGCAGCACGCCAGCCGTGGCGGCCACTGGAGGGTGAACCAACAGCAAAAGGAAGACCTTTCTCTCTGTCTCTCTCTCTCTCACTATCCACTCTTCCACTCTGCCTGTCAAAAAAAAAAAAAAAAAAGAAGTCAAGTCTAGTATCCTTATTGTGGAGATTGATTCATGGTTGATTGCAGGTTGCAGGTTCCATCTCATCAAATCATGTATATTTAATCTGTGCAGTTTTGGATGGTGATACTAGCTCAATAAAGCTGTTTTAAAATAATAAAAAATAGTCTAAGTTTTTAAAAAATATTGTAGGATGCTTTCTAAATTAAAAATATATTTTGGTGATCGGCATTGTGTTGTAGTAGGCTAAGTGTCCACCTGAGGCCCTGGTACTCCATATCGGCTCCTGTTCAAGTCCTGGTTGCTCCTCTTCCAATCTAGCTCTCTGCTTATGGCCTGAGAAAGCAGTGAAGATGGCCCATGTGCTTTGGGCCCCTGTATCCACTTGGGAGACCCAGAAGAAGCTCCTGGCTTCTGGCTTCTGCTCAGCTTGGCTCCGGCCATGGGGCCATTTGGGGAGTGAATCAGTAGATGGAAGACCTTTCTCTCTCTCTTTCTCTCTCTCTCTCTCTCTCTCTCTCTCTGGCTCTATCTCACAAATACATAATTAAAAAATCTTTAAAGGAGTCGGCAAAGTGGTTAGTGGGTAAAGCCACCGCCTGCAGTGCCAGCATCCCACTAGGGCGCAAGTTCGAGTTCCAGCTGCTCCAGTTCCAATCCAGCTCTCTGCTATGGCCTGGGAAAAACAGCAGAAGATGGACCAAGTCCTTGCCCCCTGCATTCCTGTGGGAGACCCGGATTAAGCTCCAGGCTCCTGGCTTCCGATTGGCCCCAGCCCTGGCCATTGTGGCAATCTGAAGAGTGAACCAGCTGATGAAAGACCTTTCCTCTCTCTCTCTCTGCCTCCGCCTCTCTGCTATTCTGCCTTTCAAAGAAATAATATTTAAAATAAAATATTTTTAAAAACATATAGAGAAACCTTTCTTTTGCCTTTATGTATTTATATTTATAGTATAAAAATGTATAAATATAAACTAAATTTCTACTAACTACTACAATTAAATATACAAAAGTTATTTAAATATATAAATATTTACTGGTTGTTTATAAGTCTGGACAATTCATTCCCTCACTAGGCAACGTTTTAGTACTTACTGCATAAGATTTAATATATTTATCTCTTGGGTGTTTTGTACAAATGTCAACACTATGACAAATCTTGCAGATAACTTCCAGGTAGTATATTACTAGCATACTTTCAAAAGCTCATGAAAAAAAAAGAAAAAATGTTCATGAAAGTATAAGCTTATTTGGGTGCCAATTTTTTGAAATCCCTGCAGAGTTGTTTAATAATGTGCATTTGCCATGAATTTTTAAAATTACACTGGTATTGGTGGTCACAAATAAACCAAATATCTGAAGTCAAGGCAGACACACCAAGATACACAGACATACACACACACACACACACACACACACACCACACAACATATCTCGATAACAGCATTCAAATAAAACTGTTGTGCCCGTTGTAGGTAATATTTTTACTGAAAGCCTCCGCATTTTATGTGAGCAACAACCCAATTCTCACAGGGCCAGATCAGCTGAATTGCTAGGGGTCTGGCATACTGTTTCACCATCTGGGAATAGAGAGGAGGCAAAAACTGCCATGGAGTCTGGGGAAACACAGGGCTCTACACATGCAAATGTGGTTCCAGGGATTCCAACCCCACACATCTGAAAGGCACAAATTCAAAGCTGTCCAGTAGAGCCATAGATCACTAGGCATAGCCTGCTTATTAGATGTCAAAGCTTCTAGAAGGGAAAAAATGATGCAAGAGGATACAGTGAATCCTTCCAGATTTCTTCAATACCTGGATTGTGCACAGATTTCGGGAAGGTATCCTTTTTTGCATTGCATCCATTCCATTTTAAAAAGAGTGACTTCAGTGCATTTTCCATTAGAAGGGTTTCATTTTTGAGAGTGTCATATTCTAAAGACTTATTTGCCAAGAGTTGCTTCTTTAAGTAGTCATCATTTTGCACAACGTGGTACATTTGAGTGAGGTTCCCTAGAATTTCCTGCTGTTGATGCTTTTCTTGAATAAGCTGTAAAACTAAAACGTGCAGCACAGATATCATAAAAATGCAATCAAGAGGTCCAACTGTGAAATTAGAGACAACAGGAAAAGTCTCACTTTAACAACCAACTCATATGATTATTTCAGTAATTTGACATTTAGAAAGTAACACCTCAGTGAACTGACCACAGAAATGGAAACATCAAATTTCTCACTAATAGCCACTGAAGGATAGCATAAATAAAATACCTGACGGCTAACACCATACCTTACAGTTTAGCTCATTTTAATAGCACATCATCATAAATAAGTAGCAAATCAAAATTCAGTTAGTTAACATTTAATGATAAATCTTCTGAAGATAAAAACCTAACCTAGCAGGTAGATGTTTGTGGACAGAGGCCCGTGTCTCACAACTCAGTACCCGGGTACAGTGCAGTGCCCAAGCCCTGGCTCCTGACTCCAGCTTCCTGGGAGAGGCTGTGATGACTCAAGAAGCTGAGTTTCTGCCACCCATGTGGAAAACCTGGGCTGAGATCCTGGCTCCGACCTGCAGGTATTGTTGGGTGAACTGCCAAATGGGATTCTTTCTCTCTCTCTCTTTTTTGTCCTCTCTCTCACCCCCCCAATTAAAAAAATAAGTTTTAGCCTGAACTTAAAAACATGAAGATATAACACAATTATTATTGGAATAGATTAAATATCTGAAAATAGGTGATTTCATACAAATGTAGTATATCCATGTTTTTCCTTAAGATGAGAAAAACAGAGAAAGACAAGAAAAAAGCTTAAATTCAAGATCATCTTCTATGTGCATATTAATTCTTCTTACTGTTTCCTTATTATATATTTTAAAATAAATAAATAAACACCCAAAGTGTTTTTTCTCAGACTGACAATGATCTCAACTCAATGGCAGAATCCTACACAACAACCTACAAAAGCAATGTTCCCGTGCATTATGCAGAATGAGACAGCTCACCACAGCTTCAGAGCCAGTGAACTAGGTAAGCAGAGTGAACACCACCGTGTGATGTGTTCCTGAAAAACTCACCAACAAAGTCCAGAACCCTCTGGGAGGTCCCCGAGTTTCAACAGGGAGCAACACTGTTAGTATCTGCACAAAGCATGGTTACTGCAGGTCCTCAGACTAGAAAGATGGACTCCAGTACTCACTCTTTGTCACCAACACTGCGACCGCCACTGAGAGAAGTAAACAGAGGATTCCAAGAGTCACTGCAAGGAGATGCCTGGGCACTGAGAACTCTTTAAAGAAAGAAGAGAGAGAGAGAGCGAGCCTGGTTACCACTTACCTCCATCAGGGACACTGTTTGAAGCAAAGGGAAGATCTTTAAAATTTTACAAGACAATATCTACCAAGTGATTTAAAATTTTAGCCTATAAAATATAGTTTCAAAGTTTAAGATTTCTGCGTGATGTGGGAGACATAGAAGAATCTTCTGCCTCCCAGCTTTGGCCTGACCCAGCTCCAGCTATTGCAGCTCTCTGGGGAGGAACCAGTATTTGCAAGATTCTCTCTCTCTCTCTCTCTCTCTCTCTCTCTCTCTGTAAATCTGATTTTCAAATAAAATAAATAAATCTCAAAAAGAAAAAATTCTGGCTGATGTACTCATCACAGAAGTCCTTCAGGGTTTAAAAGCAGGCCCCTGCTGAAGCACCACTGACAGCTGACGTAAGATGCTCAGGGGAGACCACAGTGACACGTGTCCTTCCTGTGATCACAGATAATCATGCAAAGGAAAAGCAGGCAATGGTCTTGAGTCTGGGTTGCAAAAGGGATCACAGGCCATCCTGACAGGAGGTTCTAGAAATCCACTTTTCCTGCTTCACCATCAATCCTGTTTTTCTGCAAACAGTACTATGTTTATCCTTTTACTTTTGATGTTCCCATATTGGAAAAATTATATCATTGATGATCACCAAACTAAAATGATAAAAGTTATTTTCAGCTTAAAGTTAAACTGTGACAATATTTGAGGTGCAGAGAGAATAGAAAAATTAGAATGTCCCTTTGATATGAAGATTTTTCCTTCTTCATGGCCTTTAACATCACATATATATTCTTAAGACACCTAAAATGTGTTGTCTGAATTACTTTGTTTTTAACACATATTTTTCACTTTGTAAACATTCCCTAAGATATGCTATGTTTCTTGAGACACTTTTCTGTGTTTTACTTTTACAGGCTTCACAAATCATTATTGACCAGACTTGAATAAAAGCAGTCTATTAGCTGCTCATAGGATTCATTAATTTTTGCATTCAGCTAACTGTCCTTTCAAGTTTTCCGTTCTACTATGCTGTCTTGTAATAGTGTCTTCTAACCACTTGACAATCAGAAGTATCTATATGAACTTTTTCTAAGCCTCAAGTTTGGCAATCCATAAACAACAGGTGAATTTAGAGGCCTAAAATATATACATTGGGGTCAGCATTGTAATGCAGTAGGTTAAGCAGCCAGTTGCAATGCAGGCATCCCATATCACAATACCCATTCATGTCTCAGCTGCTCCATTTCTTTTTTTTTTAACTTTTATTTAATGAGTATAAATTTCCAAAGTACAGCTTATGGATTACAATGGCCTCCCCTGCATAACATCCCTCCAACCCGCAACCCTCCCCTTTCCCATTCCCTCTCAACTTCCATTCACATCAAGATTCATTTTCAATTCTCTTTATATACAGAAGATCAGTTTAGCATATATTAAGTAAAGATTTCAACAGTTTGCTCCCACACAGAAACATAAAGTGAAAAATACTGTTTGAGTACGAGTTACAGCATTAAATCTCAATGTACAGCACACTAAGGACAAAGATCCTACATGAGGAGTAAGTGCACAGTGACTCCTGTTGTTGACTTAACAAATTGACACTCTTGTTTATGGCATCAGTAATCACCCTAGGCGCTTGTCATGAGCTGCCAAGGCTATGGAAGCCCCCTGAGTTCACTGACTCTGATCATATTTAGACAAGGCCATGGTCAAAGTGGAAGTTCTCTCCTCCCTTCAGAGAAAGGTACCTCCTTCTTTGATGACCCATTCTATCCACTGGGATCTCACTCGCGGAGATCTTTCATTTAGGTTTTTTTTTTCCCCCAGAGTGTCTTGGCTTTCCATGCCTGAAATACTCTCATGGGCATTTCAGCCGGATCCGCATGCCTTAAGGGCTGATTGTGAGGCCAGAGTGCTGTTTAGGACATCTGCCATTCTATGGGTCTGCTGTGTATCTCACTTCCCATGTTGGATCATTCTCTCCCTTTTTGATTCTATCAGCTAGTATTTGCAGACACTATTCTTGTTTATGTGATCCCTTTGGTTCTTAGTCCTATCATTATGATCAATTGTGAACAGAAATTGATCACTGGGACTAGTGAGATGGCATTGGTACATACCACCTCGATGGGATTGAATTCGAATCCCCTGGTATGTTTCTAATTCTACTGTTTGAGGTAAGTCAGCTTGTCAGCTGCTCCACTTCTTATCCAGCTCCCTGTTAATGCACCTGAGAAAGCAGCAGAAGATCACTCAAGTATTTTGGAGTCTGCCATTTATGCGGGAGACCAAGAGGGAGTCCTAAGCTCCTGGCTTCTGCCAAGCCCAGCACCGGCTATGGTGCCCATTTGTAGTGAACCAGTGCTTTTCTCTTTGTCTCTCCCTCTCTGCCACTTTACCTTTAAAATAAATAAATACATAAATAAATCGTCTTTAAAATATTTGTATATATACCTTTATCATCAGTTTTTCCACTCCTTCGAGTGCCATCAGGTCTTAATCTATTTTGCGATTCTGAAGAAGACTGAGGACATCTCAAAGCTGAATAAGTCACCTCCTGATCACTCACCTCTAAAAGAAGAAAAACATATCTGGCATCAAAACTTTGCTACACGATGGCTTCTAAAGAAAAATCAAAATGGCGGCTTGAAGGAACATTCCCGACATGATGGTGAGAGCTAATTGTGTGTGTGTCTGTGCGTCTCCCTATACACGTGTTTATCTTCTCCTACAAATACACAGACAGTCTGATTTATATAAGAAGGGGAAATCCTGTTAACATTTCCATTAAACTCATTTATAATCCTAGTGATCATTGCCACGGTTATCAGAAAAGATAAACGGAAGAAAAAGATTGCCAGTAGATTATTGTCCTAGTTACTCAATTTCACTCAAAATGTTCAACATACATCTAAAAATATTATGACAAATTAGTACCATCTCAAAGTTCTGAAACACATTTAAATGGTTGATTCTAACAACAATAATTCTGTACTCTGAAAGAGTATAAATGCCTTGGCTTAAAAAATACATATTTTGATATGCATATAAGTGCTTTGAAAGCTCTCGCATTCTTTGCAAACACTCTAACAGAGTGTTGCCCAAAGTATATCTAAAGACCAACTGCAAATGATTATCTGAGGGTGAATATCACAAGTTGGTTAACATTTCAGAGCCAGTGTCTTGTACAAGATAAGCTGAATAAAAATCTCTTAGGTTCCCGGATATGATGTTGCCATCAAAGCTTTTGTGAAACTAAATTTTCTTATAGGTAATCTTCAGTTAATGTCTTTTAAGGATTAATCTAGCAATAAATATCAATGTAGAAAGAAATCCAATAATAAAATTTGAAATTTACTTTGCTTCTTACATTCATGTCAGAGAAAAGATTATATCTAAGAAGCAGGAAATATTTTAAAAAACTGCAAAAGTAACTATAGCCTTTTATACATTTTTAATTACAAAATTTTGTATGTTTATTTACATTTTCTCTAACTTCCTACTAGGAAATAGGAGCATTTCTGCTAAGGAATCCTTCAATATGGATGGATGATACATAAATCATTAGCTCCAAGGAAAAGTAACTCCTCAAATCACTCTTCTTTATGTTCGTAACACAAAGCAAAACTCATAGCATATTGAAAAAGGGAAGATAACTCATCCTGGATGCTGAACTACAATTCTAACATGCTTCAGAGACCGTGCAATTCTAATGCAATGAGAGGGAAGGCTTTCCTACCACGCTCCTTCTCAGGCCACGTCACTTGTAGTTCAGTGCCATATTCCTAGAATAAGTCGAATTAATAGGATACCCAGGTGCTAAGATCCAAGGGAATAAAAGCAGGTGTTACCTGGATCCATGCCGTGCAGTGATGCAGGTGGAAGAAACGGACCCCAATATGAGGGAGAAGTCGTCCACGCCGGTCCAAGATCCCCTAGGGGCTCCACGAAGAGAAGCGAATTGCCTCTGAGTGAGGATACTCCGACTCAAAGTGCTCTGCCCCTCCTGGTGAAGTGGTAGAGGAAACTGAGTGATGAAAGCTGTTGTTTACAGGAAAGGAAAGATGGTCATGCGCTGTGTCTTCCTCCATTTCAACTAATCAACCATTTAGCATTCTTTGCAAAATAGCACTCAAAACCAATATTTACAGACTAAAAAGACATATCAACACAGTTGTGGAAAACAAGATGAATATCATTAACATAAAAGTAACAGATATAAAACAAACCACCAGTCAAAGAGATGGGCAAAACATTTATGTGTTTATACAAAAAGGGACAGAACTCATTTCTCTAGCTCTTAGTTTAAATAATGCCCTCTCTGTTACAAAGATTCTGTTTTAAGATACTATTTAAAAAATATTATTCTTTTTCTTGATTAATGCTTATTTCAGGTAAATGTGTTTTTAAATTTGTTTAACATCTGTCTATAAAATTTGGTTTATTTTCTTCCAGTATTTTTTGATAAATATGTTTACTAGCAAAGCTGGTATCATTACACAGTGCTTCCACTTTAATCGTTTTTTTTTTTAGATTTATTTTAATATTTTAATGGTAGAGTTACAGAGACAGGTAGAGACAGAGAGGTCTTCCATCTACAAGTGAAATCTCCAAATGGCCACATCAGCTGGAGCTGGGCCAGGCTGAAGCCAGGAGCCATGACCTTCTTCCAGGTCTTCCATGCAGGTACTGTGGCCCAAGCACTTGGGCCATCTTCCACTGCTCCCCCAGGCCATCAGCAGAGAGCTGGATCAGAAGTGGAGCAGCCAAGATCAAACAACTCTTATATGGGATAACAGTGCTGTGGGCCGGGGCTCTAACCAGCTGAGCCACAGTGCTGGCCCCACTTTATTCTTTTCTGATAAGTAATAAGCATTTCTTCACTTTAAACATATTCATGTAAAACACGAATTATTCATTTTAATGTATTTTAAAGGCAAAGCAACAGACAAAGACAGCTCTACATCTGCTGGTTCACTCTCCGAATGCACACAGCAGGCCTGGGCTGGGTTAGGCAGGAGCCAGTGGTGGTTTAACCCTCTGCACCAAAACAACCACACCTAAGACATGATTTAAAAACCATCATACTAATTACCCACATGGGTACACCCATAATTTATTTAAGCAACCCCTTGCTATTGAACATTTAAGGTTTTTTTTCTGGGATTTTGCTAGTGTAAAAAATAATTGGCCTGTACTTGCATGTTTTGTTAGAAACTAAGTTAAACACAAAATTATGGAGTCAAAGGGCATGTGCATTTAAAGAAATGGGCAAATACTAAACACCTTCTGGAAAAATTGTTCCCATTTATATTCCACCAGTTGTGTGTGAAAATATTCACATTTAATTTTTTTTTAAGATTTGTTCATTTGAAAGGCAGAACCACATGGAGAGAGGGTAAGAGAGAGAGACAGAGGGAGAGAGAGATCTTCCATGCACTGGTTCACTCCCTAAATGGCTGCAACAGCCAGGGCTGGGTCAGAAACCAGGAACTATATCCAGGTCTCCCAAGAGGATGGCACAGACTCAGTACTTGGGTACTGCTGCCTTCCCAAGCACATTAGCAGGAAGCTGGATTGGAAGTGGAGCAGCTGGGATGCCGCCATGTCCCATTGTACCACAATTCCAGCCCCTCATGTTTGAATTTTGAGAAGAAATGCTGGTAAGTTATTCCTCTCCTTGAGTTTTGTCCACAAATCTTACTTCTAATAGCTGTCTCAGCATCCTTCCAGGCATCACGTTTTCATATACGTTAGAGTTTAAAAAGAAATTCATTCGTGTAACTCTGATACCATGAGCCAGACTCTGGCAGGACATATTCAAATCTCACATTGAAATTTGCTTTCACTTGACTGATGCCTTTTCAGTCTTCTGACTACAGTTTCATGAAACCCATAAGGTGCAGTGGTTAAATTACTCCTTGGGATGTCCAAATTGGAGTGCCTGAGTTCAAGTCTAAGTCCTCTTACTGACTCCAGCTGCCTGCTGATGTACACCCTGGAATGTAGCGGTGGTGGCTCCAGTATCAGACCCCCAGTTTGAGGTCTGGGCTCCTGGCTTCAGCCTTCGCCCAGCTCTGCACATTGCAGGCCTTTGAGGAGTGAACTGGTGGATGGAAGCTCTCTAAGTATGTGACTCTCTGCCTGCTAATTACAAAGTAAGTAAATGGTTCTTCAAGTGAGGTGATAGTTGTTAATAAATTGTATGGGATGGGAGTGAGGTGGAGAACAGCAAGGGAGATAGATTATGCAGAAACTGCCACATCCCTGCTTCACTAGGTTTGACAAGTTCCTTGCTTGTTCTTTGCTTCCCTAACCATCCTCTTCACAAGGCCTCCCCCTATCCTCCAGCCTCCCCCAACCTTCCCTCCAAATGACTGCATGTAGTCCCCTGCGTGTTATGGCCTCCAACACCTATGTAGGTCATAGAGCCTGTTGACTCTACTTCTGTCCCTTGGCATCATCCTCAATCTCTGAATCACCTTTGCATCCCCCACTTATCATCATGTGCGGGCAGTCAACTGAAATACCACCCCCCACACACCAACAGAGACCAGCATAGCTCAATCACATAGGCAAAGTTTCATTGGTGGAGTCTGGATGTTTCAGGATTATTTCTGCTAGACTTGGATAAGCTTTGTCATTGCCAAATAACAAAAGAAGGAAGTTGTGCTGAGAAGACAGAATGGGGAAGTGGAAATAATCATGATGGTTGAAAAGGGGGCAGAGAGAGACACTCACTGGAGCGCCTACTATGTACAGAGCCACACTAAACCCTTGAGCACTAGCTCCGGCTTACTATTGTCCTCATTTTAGAAATGAAGGAATTAATGTTGAGGTTGAGATGCCCAAGGATGCATTATTGCTCATTTTTGGTCCATGTTTAAAATAATGCCTGACTGAACACATACAGCACAGACAAAATGAAGATTCAGAAGGGCATGGGTTTTCAACAAAGCTCTTGGCACAAAGTAGGAGTTCTGAAAACAGAAATATGTGGCTTGAACTGGCAGCCCTAGCCCCTGTGTTATTTCAGGCAAGTCTTCTTTAATTTTTGTTTATAGTCCATGATTCAAATCCTTCCTAGTCACAAAAACTTGACAAGGCCTTCTGGATCCTCAGCCTCAGTATCTTCCCATGTCCACTGATAATATCACCCACTTCATAGGCATGCAAGAACCTGATGAAATTAGCACTGGAGGATTTCGCTATTTTGGGGGGCGTGGGTTTATTTGACGAGGGCTTGGTTTTCCACTCCTAAATTTCTGCAGATGGTGGAAGAGTGAGGACTGCAAGCCACACATCCTGACACACTACTGTGTTTTGTCCCCACCAAAACTCCTCCAAGGCAGCTCCGGGAACTGGGGTGTTAGTGGGAGGTTTTGAATCAAGGGGTAGAGCCCCCATGAATGAATGAATGAATGTCTTACATGGGTGATTTCTCCCTTTCACAGGACCAGATTAGTTAGTGAAGAACAGGTTGTAAAGCAAGTCTGGCTTTCTTGTTCTTTCTTTCGCACACACACCTGCTCGTCCTTCCATTGCTTGCCAAAAGTTGAAGCATCATGAAGTCTCACCAGATGTGGCCACCGATCTTGAACTTCCCAGGCTCTAGAACCATAAGTGAACACAATCTTTTCTTGCACATGATGCAGTCTCTGGTGTTTTTTATAGCAAAGAACATGGACTAAGACACACACACACACACACTGGGCTGGGTTCTCTATCCAACTGCACTGGGCTCAGAGTGCAGGTGTTGGGAAGAACATCTCATTAACACAGTGTGGGAGCTCGGAAACATGGTCGCATAGCATAGCTTACAGTACTGCTCTAGAGAAACCTCCTGTAGCCTCCCGGTCTCCCAAGGATGCATGTAGTTCTAGAATAAACTAAACTAATTGATAGTGACAGAAAGAGCATCGCTGGTGGACAGGGGCCAGGTGGCTGCTATGAGGCAGAATGGAATTTCTGGAGCTGATGCAAATGTTCTAGATTTTGATTTGATAGCGTGTGAGAGGTAAACAGATTAAAACCTATATCCCTCATGACTTAAAATGGGTAAATTCTATTGTATGGATAGCCTAACTCAATAAGGTTGACTTTTTTTAATTTCAAGGTCAAGAAAGACAAAAGAAATTTAAACGGCTATTCCAGATTAAAGGACATGCTATAGATATGATGATTAAATGCACTGTATTACTGTGAACATGGAGAAAAATACCCTTAAATGACATTATTTAGCCAATGGACAAATTTGAATATGGTTTATAGACTAGATCATAACACTGTATCATTGCTAAATTCCCTGATTTTAATAATTGTAGCATGGTTATATAAGACAAAGTCCTTTTCTTCAAAAATATTCAGAAACCAGGACATATCTTCAATTTATTTTCAGGTGGATTGACAATGAGAGCAAGAGTGAAGGAGAAACAGTGTACAACACAGCAAAATACAAACAATTGATAACTGTGGGTAAAAGTTACATGGGCATGTCTTGTAATGTTCTTCCAACTATTCAGTATATATGAATTTAAATTCTGTAACAAAATTCTTTTTAAAGATGAGGTATGCTTCTAGGTAGTAAAAATATAACTATATTCTAGTTCTTAATTGTACTTCCATAGTCTGCCATTGACATGTTTTATCCTATTCGTAAGGAAAGATCCTGGCCACGCATTAGGATTCTTCGACAGCTCCTGGGTGGTTTAGGGAAACGGGAAGAATAATTCCTCAGAACCATAATCGAAGGAGCAACTACTCCCCAAGATGAAGCGACCACTCCCCACAGGAAGAAGATGGCATCTGTCCTCCTAATTCAGGGCTCAGGAGATTTTCTTCCTCTTCCAGTTCCTGTGTCCACACTGGACTGAGCCCTGCAGTCAGAAACAGGTGTTAGCAGTGACCCCAAATTATTACAGGACACAAAAGCAGGGCAGCATTTCCAATGTTATCTGTTCTTCTAAGTGCACATTGAAGTAGGGAAAATATAATTAATTCTCTTTTTACAGATACAACTGTGGGTTTTAGAGCAATGTTCATCTTCTACTCTTGTTGAGGTCAATAATCCACATTTTCGTTTCATAGAAGGCAAACTTATCCATCTAAAATTCCTGTAGAACAGAAAATATAAATGTCAACTGTTTAAATCCGAATTTTCCAATGACATCTTCATGAATGTTTTAAATTCTATGTCTTAAATTCCTAACAAATATAAATGTTCTTTATAAGTTCAACAATGAAAGATTTCTTTATTCTTAGCCCATTAAACACATTTACCCATAATCTCCTAGTTTATTCCAAACTGGCAACTTTTGGTCAGCAGAAAAATGACTTTGCAATATGGCTTTGGTATTATAATATACCAAACCTACTTTCTTATTTTATTTTTTAATAGAAGTGAGAAATTTAAAAGTAGAACTGAATTTCTGTGACACAGATAACCAGGTTTCGTGTGCATATTCTTTTTGGAGAAAAAATAAATGAAATTTAGTCAGAGATTAGATAGTTTGATTGATGTTTTTATTTATTTCTTTGTCTTTCCCATCAATAACAAATAGTTCAGCTAAACCGTGGTAATCCATTGAAAACTATCAAACAGGGTGTCTATTTGAAAAAATGGTTGCTTAGGTGGCAGAACTCCTTTCCTACTTAAAATAATTTAAAATGATAGATAAATAAGATGTTGCACCATCTTGCATATGTTCACAGTCAGCAAGAAGTAGATTCACACTTAGGCTGAGTGTTAAGTAGAAGCGGGAGTACATATGTGGGGATTTTTTATGATTCTGAATTCTTAGGTGAGATTATTCTTTTTTCTCTTTTGCTTAAATCGAGGACTCAAGAGAGTTCTAGAGTGTTTTTTTTTTTTTTGAATGTTTACTTATTTATTTGAGAGGTAGAATTACAGACAGAGACAAGGAGAGATAGAGAGAGGGGTCTTCATCTGCTGCTTCGCTCCCCAGATGACCACAAAGGGCAGAGCTGGGCCAATCTGAGGCCAGGAGCCATGAGCCAGGAGATTCTCTCAGGTCTCCCATGGGTGTGCAGGGGCCAAGGACTTGGGCCATCATCCAATGCTTTCCCAGGCCATGAGCAGAGAGCTGGATCAGAAGAGGAATAGCCAGGACGCTAACCGTGCCCATATAGGATGCTGGTGCCGCAGACAGAGGCTTAGCTCACTACACCACAGCACCCACCCCAGGAATAACTACTGTTAAGTCAGGATGGTACAATCACTTCATATTTTCCTGTATAACGACTGTGTTCATTTTGTGTGTTTCATAACTCATACTGTATGTGATTGGTATACCTTTATCATTAACAGTGCTGTATAACACTTCTCTGTTAACGCCACTTGCTAAAATACTTTTTTCCTAATTCTCTTTTCTTACTAATGGACTCTACTTCAAAAAAAACCTGTGTGATATGAGCGATGACTTGTTAGACGCAATCCTTCCATCTCCCACACTAATGTTAGAGTCTGAATACATTCCAGAAACTTACATTCCAGATGATGTGCCATCATCAAGTCCTTTCCTTTTGTTTTCCACTTCATTAAATGGCAATCCAATCCAATAACTATTTTCATGAATCTGAAATCGAATAAATGTCTATAAAGGAAACAAAACACATCATGGGAATAAGTTCCCTTCTGTTGGAAGAATGAGAAGACAGACAGGTAGAGGGACAAAAGCTGTATCCACGGCCAGTACTCTGCCGCTCTCCACAACACCCTTCATCCCTGCTTCCTAGAAAAATCTCTCATTCTACAAAGCCTATATTTTCATCTTCCTAGGTATATTTCCATAGTACATTATTTATATACGTTGAAATCATCTACCAGTCTCACAAATTATTCAAAGCATGGAAAATGTTTAAATTAAAATATCTGCAAATAAGAAATTTGTTAGATAATGTATGGCACTTCAGAAAACTATTCAGACTCATGCTCCAAAAGAATATGTCATGGTGTAGAGAAGGTAGCACTGCCTGATCTTAAATGAAAGAAGAAGTCTTCAAAACAAATTTCTTAAATAAAAACTGATTGTGTGGGGGTGTGCATTACAGTCCAGACTCACAGAAAAAAAAGCCTTGCTTTTAGGTAAGTAGTTGGAAGAGATAAAAGGGAGGGAGTAAGTGTTTGGGAATATTAAAATGTCTAAAATGTACTATATCAAAATGACAAATTACATAAAGTCTTATTAAATGTCTGCCATTGAAAATATAGATTTTAAGTTACATTTCCCCAGATAAAAAACAAAGTTCTTTCATGAGTTTATATCACAAACTGTATTATATTGGGATTTTAAACATTTATTATACATGCATATAATTTTTACATTGTTTTCCTAAGTAGTAAAGAGAGGTTTTGGGCTGGTGTTGGCAAACATTTCTCTGTAAAAACACACTTTGAGTATTTGGATAAATTTTCTTAGTAATAAATTAAAAAGACAACCTCAATATTGTTGTCACTGTCTTTTCTTTTAATACAATTTTTTTAAAGCAGCTAGATATTATAAGATTATTGATCAAGTACATGTGACCTACAGATGCCCTGGAATAACCAGGAGATTAATTTGTAAAACTGTTGTCACTTTTTTTTTAATTTTTTGACAGGCAGAGTGGACAGTGAGAGAGACAGAGAGAAAGTTCTTCCTTTGCCGTTGGTTCACCCGCCAATGGCCGCCGCGGCCGGTGCACTGCGCTGATCCGATGGCAGGAGCCAGGTGCTTATCCTGGTTTCCCATGGGTGCAGGGCCCAAGCTCTTGGGCCATCCTCCACTGCCTTCCCGGGCCACAGCAGAGAGCTGGCCTGGAAGAGGGGCAACCGGGACAGAATCTGGTACCCTGACCGGGACTAGAACCTGGTGTGCCAGCGCCCCAAGGCGGAGGATCATCCTACTGAGCCGCGGTGCTGGCCTATAACTGTTGTCACTTTAATGGTGCTCATTATCATCTCCATTTTGTAGATAGGCTCAGAGAGGTTAATAAATTTACTGAAAGTCACCCAGTTAAAAGTGTCAGAGTTCAGTTGGATTTCAGGCAGTCTGAATGCTGAATTCCTGCTAGTAACTCCCAGATTGCGCTGCACCCCCACTGCTTGCCACCCCATAAGGAAAAAATAACTGTGGTTCTAGAGTACAGGTTACCAACGGTTCAGATAAGTACTTCCTCCAAGGAAAGGCATATTTTCTTGTAAGTGGCACTACTGCAGTCTCCTTGAAGAGAGAGGATTACAAACTTCACCCTTCCTAATCATCGTCATAATAGATCATGTGCATTGAACACTCAATGAGTAGCAGGACCATATGCTTATTAGCAGACAGGGTTTCCAGGGAGATTCTGAACTCTACAATCTTCCCGACACAATAGGAAGAATAGCTGAAGATCTCTCTTTCTGGACCACCCTCCCCTTCGCAGCCTCTTGGGTCACAGGGGAGAGACACATTCATGAGATTGAGAGTACATGGAGGAGTCTGTGATACCAGTTCATGTTCATTGTCAATCTTCAAAAGGGAGGAACTGTAACTTTGGCAGGTTTGTTTACATCCCGTCCAGCTTTTATTTTGCAGAACAAAATAATAGCAGTTTACTCCATAACAGGACCAGTAGTCTTCATGGACTTTACCTACAACATGTAAGGTCAGTCATTAAACTTCTTAATATCTGGTCATCTGTGAATGAGAACAATATGTTTTTCAGCCGCCTATAACTGACACAAAGGCTCAAATCTATCTATAATAATTATTAGTGGCTGGTTAAGGTTGAGGGTGGAGGTTGGCAATGTGTAGAGAGAGGTTAGCTAAGTCCCAAAACACAGTCAGGTGCAGTATCAAGTTTTAGTGTTCCTTCAGTCAGTATGGTGACCATACTTCACCAGGATAAATTATCACTGAAGAACTGGAAGAGGGGAGCTTGTGGGCTCCAAACACAAAGAAAGGACAGGAAAATGAAAAGGCTAGATGTGATTGGTTTGCACCGTGTTTATGTGTTTTCTTGTAAGTGACACTACTGCAGTATTGCATATTATATGAGACCCATAATATGTCCAAGTATTATGTTTTGATCAAAAATTTTTAAATAGAATAATTCTCTCAAAATGCTTAAAGAGTTACTACTGCATTAGATTGTGAGGATATAGTCTGAAAAGACAAGAGTCCAACAGTGTAGGGAGACACCAATACACGGGAGATAACTCCTCATGATTCCACTTCTCTGAGGTATCTGCAGTGGCCAAACCATCGAAAGACGGAAGAGAATGGTGGTTACCCAGAGCTGGAGAAATGAAAACTTTTGTTCTTTGAGTGTAATCTTTCAGTTATGTGTGAGGAATGAATTCTAGAGATCTGCTGTACAACATAGTGTCCACTGTGAGGGCTCCTGTTTGTCACAGCAGCTCCTCTTCCAATCCAGCTCTTGCTTATGGCTCTAGGAAGCACTGAAGATCGCCCATGTGCTTTAGGACCTTGCACCAACATGGGAGACCCAGAAGAAGCTCCTGGCTTCTGGCTTCTGGCTTCGGCTCAGCTTGGCTCTGGCTTGGGGCCATTTGGGGAGTGAACTAGTGGATGGAAGACCTTTCTCTCTGTCTCTCTGTCTCTCCTTCTCTCTCTCTCTCTCTGGCTCTATCTCACAAATACATAAATTAAAAAATCTTTAAAGGAGTCGGCGAAGTGGTTAGTGGGTAAAGCCAACACCTGCAGTGCTGGCATCCCATATGGGCGCAGGTTTGAGTCCCAGCTGCTCCATTTCCAATTCAGCTCTCTACTAAAGCCTGGGAGAAGCAGTGGAAGATGGCCCACGTCTTTGCACCCCTGCACCCATGTGGGAGACCTGGAAGAAGCTCCAGGATCCTGGCTTTGGTTTGGCCCCAGCTCTGTCCATTATGGCCATTTGGAGAGTGAACCAGCAGATGAGAGAGATTTCCTCTCTCTCTCTGCCTCGGCCTCTCTGTAATTCTGCCATTCAGAGAAATAATCTTTAAATAAATATATATATATATATATAAACCTTCTCTTTTTCCTTTATTTATATTTGTAGTGTAAAAAATTCTAAACTGAAACTAAATTTCCACTAAGTAACAAAAATATATACAAAAGTTATTTTAAAATATGAGTATTTACTGGTTGTTTGTAAGTCTGGACAATTCATTCCATCATTAGGCAACAATTTAGTACTTACTGCATGAGATTTAATACTTTATGTTTAGTACAAATGTCAACACCATGACATCTTGCAGATCTATGCAGGGAGTATATTGTTAGGGAACCTTCACAAATTCATGAAAAAAGAAAAAATTTTCATGAAAATATAAGCTTATTTTGGTGAAAAATTTTTTGAAAACCATGCAGAGTTGTTTAATAATTGCATTATCAATGAATTTTTAAAATTTTAGAATTTTAAAATACACTGGTATTGGTGGTCACAAATAGAACAAATATCTGAAGTCAAGGCAGACACACCAACATACACACACACACACACACACACACCATACAACATATCTCGATAACAGCATTCAAATAAAACTATTGTGCCCGTTGTAGGTAATATTTTTACTGAAAGCCTCCGCATTTATGTGAGCAACACCCCAAGTCTCACAGGGCCAGATCAGCTGAATTGCTAGGGGTCTGGCATACTGTTTCACCATCTGGGAATAGAGAGGAGGCAAAAACTGCCATGGAGTCTGGGGAAACACAGGGCTCTACACATGCAAATGTGGTTCCAGGGATTCCAACCCCCTGCATCTGAAAGGCACAAATTCAAAGCTGTCCAGTAGAGCCATAGATCACTAGGCATTAGCCTGCTTATTAGACCTCAAGGCTTCTAGAGGGGAAGAAATGATGCAAGAGGATACAGTGAATCCTTCCAGATTTCTTCCATACCTGGATTGTGCACAGATTTCTGGAAGGTATCCTTTTTTGCATTGCATCAATTCTGTTTTAAAAAGGGTGACTTCAGTGCATTTTCCATTAGAAGGGTTTTATTTTTGAGAGTGTCATATTCTAAAGACTTATTTGCCAAGAGTTGCTTCTTTAAGTAGTCATCATTTTGCACGACGTGGTACATTTGAGTGAGGTTTCCTAGAATTTCCTGCTGTTGATGCTTTTCTTGAATAAGCTGTAAAACTAAAACGTGCAGCACAGATATCACAAAAATACAATCATGAGGTCCAACTGTGAAATTAGAGACAACAGGAAAAGTCTCACTTTAACAACCAACTCATATGATTATTTCAGTAATTTGACATTTAGAAAGTAACACCTCAGTGAACTGACCACAGAAATGGAAACATCAAATTTCTCACTAATAGCCACTGAAGGGTAGCATAAATAAAATACCTGGTGGCTAACACCATACCTTACAGTTTAGCTCATTTTTAATAGCACATCATTATAAATAAGTAGCAAATCAAAGTTCAGTTAGTTAACATTTAATGATACATCTTCTGAAGATAAAAACCTAACCTAGCAGGTAGATGTTTGTGGACAGAGGCCCGTGTCTCACAACTGAGTACCCGGGTACAGTGGAGTGCCCAAGCCCTGGCTCCTGACTCCAGCTTCCTGGGAGAGGCTGTGATGACTCAAGAAGCTGAGTTTCTGCCACCCATGTGGAAAACCTGGGCTGAGATCCTGGCTCCGACCTGCAGGTATTGTTGGGTGAACTGCCAAATGGGATTCTTTCTCTCTCTCTCTTTTTTGTCCTCTCTCTCACCCCCCCAATTAAAAAAATAAGTTATAGCCTGAACTTAAAAACATGAAGATATAACACAATTATTATTGGAATAGATTAAATATCTGAAAATAGGTGATTTCATACAAATGTAGTATATCCATGTTTTTCCTTAAGATGAGAAAAAAAGAAAAAGACGAGAAAAAAGCTTAAATTCCAGATCATCTTCTATGTACATATTAATTCTTCTTATTGTTTCCTTATTATGCACGTCAAAATAAATAAATAAACACCCAAAGTGTTTTTCTCAGACTGACAATGATCTCAACTCAATGGCAGAATCCTACACAATAACCTACCAAAAGGAATGTTACCATACATTATGCAGAATGAGACAGCTCACCACAGCTTCAGAGCCAGTGAACTAGGTAAGCAGAGTGAACACCACAGTGTGATATGTTCCTGAAAAACTCACCAACAGAGTCCAGAACCCTCTGGGAGGTCCCCCGAGTTTCAACAGGGAGCAACACTGTTAGTATCTGCACAAAGCATGGTTACTGCAGGTCCTCAGACTAGAAAGATGGACTCCAGTACTCACTCTTTGTCACCAACACTGCGACCGCCACTGAGAGAAGTAAACAGAGGACTCCAAGAGTCACTGCAATGAGATGCCTGGGCACTGAGAACTCTTTAAAGAAAGAAGAGAGAGAGAGAGCCTGGTTACCACTCACCTCCATCGGGGACACTGTTTGAAGCAAAAGGAAGATCTTCAAAAATTTTACAAGATTATATTTACCAAGTGATTTCTGGCTGATGTGGGAGAAATAGAAGAAGCTTCTGACTCCCAGCTTTGGCCTGACCCAGCTCCAGCTATTGGAACTATCTGGAGAGTGAACCAGTATTTGAAAGTTCTCCTTCTCTCTCTCTTCTTTCTCTCCTTCCCTTTGTGTATCTGACTTTCAAATAAAATAAATAAATCTCAAAAAAAAAAACCTTTCTGGCTGAGTACTCATCACAGAAGTCCCCATGCACAGGAATAGTTCTTCAGGGTTTCAAAAGCAGGCCCCTACTAAGGCACCAAGGACAGCTGACGTAAGACGCTCAGGGGAGACCACAGTGACACGTGTCTTTCCTGTGATCACAGCTAATCATGCAAAGGAAAAGCAGGCAATGGTCTTGAGTCTGGGTTGCAAAAGGGATCACAGGCCATCCTGACAGGAGGTTCTAGAAATCCACTTTTCCTGCTTCACCATCAATCCTGTTTTTCTGTAAACAGTACTATGTTTATCCTTTTACTTTTGATGTCCCCATATCAGAAAAATTATATCATTGATGATCACCAAACTAAAATGATAAAAGTTATTTTTAGCTTAGAGTTTAAATTGTGACAATATTTGAGGTACAGAGAAAACAGAAAAATTAGAATGCCCCTTTGATATGAAGATATTTTCCTTCTTCATATTTTTTAAGGTCAGATATATATTCTTAAGGCACCTAAAATGTGTTGTCTGAACAACTTTGTTTTTAACACATATTTTTCACTTTGTAAACATTCCCTAAGATATGCTATGTTTCTTGAGACACTTTTCTGTGTTTTACTTTAAAGGCTTCACAAATCATATTGACCAAACTTGAATAAAAGCAGTCTATTAGCTGCTCCTAGGATTCATTAATTTCTCCATCCTGCCAACTGTCCTTTCAAGTTTTCCGTTCTACTATGCTGTCTTGTAATAGTGTCTTATAACCACTTGACAATCAGAAGTATCTATATGAACTTTTTTCTAAGCCTCAAGTTTGTCAATCCATAAATGACAGGTGAATTTAGAGGCCTAAAATATATACACGGGGATAGGCATTGTGATGCAGTGGGTTAAGCAGCCGGTTGCAATGCAGGCCCCCTGTACCACAATAACTATTCATTTCCCTGGTGCTCCACTTCTTATCCAGCTTCCTGTTAATGCACCTGAGAAAGCAGCAGAAGATCACTCAAGTATTTTGGTGTCTGCAACCTATGTGGGAGACCCAGAAGGCGTCCTAAGCTCATGGCTTCTGCCTCGCCCAGCCACGGCTACTGTGCCCTTTTGTAGTGAACCAGTGTTTCTCTCTTTGACTCTCACTATCTGCCACTCTACCTTTCAAATAAATAAATCGTCCTTAAAATATTTATATATATGCATATATATATATATACCTTTATCAACGGTTTTTCCACTCCTTCGAGTGCCATCAGGTCTTAGTCTATTCTGCGATTCTGAAGAAGACTGAGGAAATCTCAAAGTTGAATAAGTCACCTCCTGATCGCTCATCTCTAAAAGAAGAAAAACATATCTGGCATCAAAACTTTGCTACACGATGGCTTCTAAAGAAAAATCAAAATGGCAGCTTGAAGGAACATTCCCGACGTGATGGTGAGAGCTAATTGTGTGTGCGTCTGTGCGTCTCCCTGTACACAGGTTTATTTTCTCCTGCAAGCACACAGACAGTCTGATTTATATAAGAAGGGGAAATCCTGTTAACATTTCCATTAAACTCATTTATAATCCTATTGATCATTGCCATGGTACTCAGAAAATATAAACAGAAGAAAAAGATTGCCATTAGATTATTGTCCTATTTACTCAATTTCACTCAAAATGTTCAACATACATATAAAAATATTATAACAAAATAGTACTATTTCAAAGCTCTGAAACATGTTTAAATGTTTAATTCTAACAACAATAATTATATTATTATTATATATTATTATTATATTATATCTAAGAAGCAGGAAATATGTAAAAAAAAACTGCACAGGTAACTATAGCCTGAGATACATTTTTTTTAAAACAGGCAGAGTGGACAGTGAGAGAGAGAGACAGAGAGAAAGGTCTTCCTTTTCTGTTGGTTCACCCCCCAGTGGCCGCAGCTGTGCTCTGCGGCCTGCGAAACTCGCTGATCTGAAGCCTGGAGCCAGGTTCTTCTGATCTCTTCTCCCTTGCAGGTGCAGGGCCCAAGTACTTTGGCCATCCTCCACTGTACTCCCTGGCCACAGCAGAGAGCTGGACTGGAAGAGGAGCAACTGGGACAGAATCCGGCGCCCCAACCGGCACCAGAACCCGGTGTGCTGGCACCGCAGGCAGAGGATTAGCCTATTGAACCACGGCGCCGGCCTGTGATACATTTTTAATTACAAAATTTTGTATGCTTATTTACATTTTCTCTAACTTTCTACTAAGAAATAGGAACATTTCTGCTATAGAATCCTTCAATATGGATGGATGATACATAAATTATTAGCACCAAGGAAAAGTAACTCCTCAAATCACTCTTCTTTATGTTCACAACACAAAGCAAAACTCATAGTTTATTGAGAAAGAGAAGATAACTTATCCTGGATGCTGAACTACAATTCTAACACGCTGCAGAGTCCATGCAATTCTAACGCAATGAGAGGGAAGGCTTTCCTACCACGGTAATTCTCAGTCCACGTCACTTGTAGTTCAGTGCCATATTCCTAGAATAAGTAGAATTAATAGGATACCCAGGTGCTAAGATCCAAGGGAATAAAAGCAGGTGTTACCTGGATCCATGCTGTGCAGTGATGCAGGTGGAAGAAACCAACCCCAATATGAGGGAGAAGTCGTCCACGCCGGTCCAAGATCCCCTAGGGGCTCCACGAAGAGAAGCGAATTGCCTCTGAGTGAGGATACTCCGACTCAAAATGCTCTGCCCCTCCTGGTGAAGTGATAAGAGGAAACTGAATGATGAAAGCTGTTGTTTACAGGAAAGGAAAGATGGTCACGTGCTGTGTCTTCCTCCATTTCAACTAATCAACCATTTGGCATTCTTTGCAAAATAGCACTCAAAACCAATATTCATGGACTGAAAAAGCTGAGCAACACATGGTTGTGGAAAACAAGATGAATGTCATTAACAGAAAAGTAACAGATATAAAACAAACCACCAGTTAAAGAGATGGGCAAAATGTTTGTGTGTTTATACAAGGACTCGTTTTTCTAGCTCTTAGTTTAAATAATTCCCTCTCTGTTAGAAAGGTTCTATTATATGCTACTTTTTTTTAAAGAAAGATTATTCCATTTTAGTTCATGTTTATTTCAGGTAAAATTGTTTTTAGATTTTTTTAAAATACCTGCCATTCCACTATAAAAATTTTAGTTTATTTTCTTCCAGTATTTTTTGATAAATATGTTTACTAGCAAAGCTGGCATCAATACACAGTGCTTCCACTTTTTTTTCAGATTTATTTTATTATTTTAATGGTAGAGTTACAGAGACAGGTAGAGACAGAGAAAGAGGTCTTCCATGTAGAAGTTCAATCTCCAATTGGACACCAGAGCTTGAGCTGGGCAAGGCTAAAGCCAGGAGCCAGGATCTTCTTCCAGTTCTTCCATGCAGGCACAGTAACCCAAGAACTTGGGCCATCTTCCACTGCTCTCCCAGGCCATCAGCAGAGAGCTGGATCAGAAGTGGAGCAGCCAAGACTCAAACCTGCTCCAATATGGGATACCAGCGCTGCAGGCTGGTGCTCTAACCAGCTGAGCCACAGTGCTGGCCCCAATTTATTCTTTTCTGATAAGTAATAAGCATTTCTTCACTTTAAACATATTCATGTAAAACACAAATCATTCATTTTTATTTATTTGAAGGGCAAAGCAACAAAGACAGCTCTTCATCTGCTGGTTCACTCTCCAAATGCCCACAGCAGGCCTGGGCTGGGCTAGGCAGAAGCCAGTGGTGGCTTAACCCTCTGTACCACAACAATCACCCATAAGACATGATTTAAAAACCAACATAGTAATTACCCACAAGGGTACACCCATAATTTATTTAAGCAACCCCTTGCTATTGAATAATTAGCTTATTTTCCAGTTTTTTGCTAGTTTAAAAACTAATTTCCCTGTACTGTTGCATGTTTTGCTAGAAACTAACTTAAACACAAAATTATGGGGTCAAAGGGCATGTACATTTAAAGAGCTGGTATATACATATTACTAAACACCCCCCTGGAAAAGTCATTGCCATTTGTATTCCACCAGTTGTGTGTGAAAATATTCACATTTAATTTTTTTTAAGATTGCTTATTTGAAAGGCAGAGCTAAAGGGAGAGAAGGTGAGAGAGAGAAGGAGAGAGAGAAAGAGTGAGAGAGAGAAAAAGAAAGAGATAAAGAGAGAGAGAAAGAGAGAGAGAGAACAAGATCTTCCATGCACTGGTTCACTCCCTAAATGGCTGCAACAACCAGGGCTGGGCCAGGAACCAGGAACTACATCCAGGTCTCCCAAGAGGATGGCACAGACTCAGTACTTGGGTACTGCTGCCTTCCCAAGCACATTAGCAGGACGCTGGATCAGAAGTGGAGCAGCTGGGGAGCCTCCATGTCCCATTGTACCACAATTCCAGCCCTTCACGTTTGAATTTTGAGAAGAAATGCTGATAAGTTATTCCTCACCTTGAGTTTGTTTCACAAATCTTACTTCTAATAGCTGTCTCAGCATCCTTCCAGGCCTCATGTTTTCATATACGTTAGAGTTTAAAAAGAAATTCAATCGTGTAACTCTGATACCACAAGCCAGACTCTGCAGAACAACATATTCAAATCTCACACTGAAATTTGCTTTCATTTTATTGATGCCTTTTCAATCTTCTGACTACAGTTTCATGAAACCCATAGGGTGCAGTGGTTAAGATACTCCTTGGGATGCCCAGATCTGAGTGCCTGAGTTCAGGTCTAAGCTCTCTTACTGATTCCCGCTGCCCTCTGATGTGCACCCTGGAACTGAGGTCTGTGCTCCTGGCTTCAAGCTACTCCCAGCTCTGCACATTGCAGGCCTTTGGGGAGTGAACCGGTGGACAGAAGTGCTCTCTCTTTTTCTCTCTCTCTCTGTATGTGACTCTCTGCCTGCTAATTGGTTACTAATTAAATAGTTCTTCAAGTGAGGTGATAGTTGTTAATAAATTGTGTGGGCATGTGAGTGAGGTGGAGAACAGCAGGGGAGATGGATTATGCAGAAACAGCCCCACCCCTGCTTCACTAGGTTTGACAAGTTCCTTGCTTATTCTTTGCTTCCCTCACCAACCTCCAGCCACTATTAAACCATCCTCTTCACAAGGCCTCCCTATGCTCCGGCCTCCCCTACCTCCCGACCAAATGACTGCACATAGTCCACTGTGTGTTCTGGCCTCAAGGACTCAGTATAGGTTGTATAGCCTGTTGACTCTATTTCTGTCCCTTGGCCTCATCCTTAATCTCTGCATCACCTTTGTCTCTGCCACTTGCCATCATGTGCGGGCAGTCAGCTGAAATAACCCCCAACATCAACCTAGACCAGCATAGCTCAATCACATGAGCAAAGTTTCATGGGTGGAGTCTGGATGTTTCAGGAATATTTGCTGCTAAACTTGGATCAGCTTTGTCAATGCCAAAAAAATAAAGGAAGGAAATTGTGCTGAGAAGACAGAATGGGGAAGTGGAAGTAATCATGATAGTTGAAAAGGAGGCAGAGAGAGACACCCACTGGAGTACCAACTGTGTACAGAGCCACACTAAAACCTTGAGCACTGCCTCTGGCTTATTATTGTCCACATTTTACAAATGATGGAATTAATGTTGAGGTTGAGATGCCTAGGGATGTATTATTGCTCATTTTTGGCCCATGTTAAAATAATGCCTGACTGAACACATACAGCACGCACAAACTGAGGATTCAGGAGGGCCTGGGTTTTCAACAAAGCTCTTGGCACAAAGTAGCAGACAGATGCGGCTTGAACTGCTGGCCCTAGCCCCCAAGTGTTATTTCAGGCAGCTCTTCACTTAGCTAAGCCTCACATTCAACGCAGTAAAATGTAGTATCGTTTGCCTTCCAGGAAGCTATGGGAATTTAATAAGGTACATAAATAACAATGATCAATCATAATGTGGCATGTATAGTAGAAGCTCACCGACTTTAATTTTTGTTTATAGTCCATGATTCAAATCCTTCCTAGTCATAAAAATTTGACAAGGCTTTCTGAATCCTCAGCCTCAGGTTCCTCCCATGTCCAGTGATAAAATCGCCCACTTCGTATGCATGCAAGAACCTGATGAAGTTAGCACTCCAGAAAGGCTTTCGCTGTACTGGGGGGAGTGGGTTTATTTGACGAGGGCTTGGTTTTCCACTGTTTCATTTCTGCAGATGGTGGAAGAGTGAGGACTGCAAGCTACACATCCTGACACACTGCTGTGTTTTGTCCCCACCAAAACGTCTCCTGAGGCAGCTCGGGGAAGTGGGCTGTTTGCATCAAGGGGTGGAGCCCCCGTGAATGGATGAATAAATGTGTGGGTGAGTTCTCCCTCTCACAGGACCAGATTAGTTAGTGCGGAACAGGTTATTATAAAGCAAGCTGGCTTTCCTGTCCTGTCTTCCACACACGCACACGACTGCTTGTCCATACATTTCCTGCCATGAGTTGAAGCATCATGAAGCCTCACCAGATGTTGCCACTGATCCTGAACTTCCCAGCCTCCAGAACCATAACCCAAAACAATCTTTTCCTTGCTTGTGATCCAGTCTCTGGTATTCTTGTGTAGCAAAGAACATGGACTAAGAAACACGCACTGGGCTGGGTTCTCTATCCAACTGCACTGGGCTCAGAGTGCAGGTGTTGGGAAGAACATCTCATTAACACAGTGTAGGAGCTGGGAAACATGGTAGCACAGCATAGCTTACAGCACTGCTCTAGAGAAACCTCCTGTAGCCTCACATCTGTGTATTTATATCTTGCTGCCCCATGGAGGTAGTGGAGGGGATGTTGAGGCTACATTTGTGTCTTGATTCCAATCTGTATAGCTGCTGAGAGGTTGGACAGTCCTCAGGATGGGATGGAAGCTGGTGAGTGCAGAGCACATGTTTTTACAACTCGTTTATCCCTTAAGAGTCCCACATCTGTGCTGCCCTTTGTTGTCACAGCAGCACATTCAAGGTGTGATGCCTACAAGTGCACTTGCTGAACATAGTGGATAGCGTTAAGAGGAACTGACTCTAAAAGCTACATTTTTGGTAGTTTTTTTACAAGGAGTATGAGACTAGGGATTAGAAAGCCAAACTGTAATGACTCCTTCTGAACTCTATTTTCTGTTTCTCACAAAGTTCTATATTTCTGAGAAAAGCAAATGTCCTCTTTAAGTGAGAAGGCAATCATCACAAGAAGTTAACAGGAGTTTAACACTGGACTAATGATGGGGCTGGTGCTGTGTCTTAGCAGGTAAAGCTGCTGCCTGTGATGCCAGCATCCTATATTGGCACCAGATTGTGTCCTGGCTGCTCCACTTCTGATCCAGCTCCCTGCTAATGGCCTGGGGAAAGCAGAGGAAGGTGGGCCAACTGTTTGGGCTTCTGCATCCAGACAGGAGACCTGGGTGAAGATCCTGGCTCCTGGCTCCTGGCTCCTGGCTCCTGGCTCCTGGCTTTGGCCTGGCCCAGATCTGGCCATTGCAGTAAACTGGGGAGTGAACCAACTGATAAAAGAAATCTTTCTCTCTCACTCTCTCTTTCTCTCCATCCACCCACCGTAAAGAAATAAATAGTTATAAAAATATTAGATTCATTGAAGCACCTGATACAGCCCTGGATCAAAATACAAACACGGAAGTAATACTTTAACATGACCAAGGTTAATACAGAAAGATGAAAATATTGAAGGATTTTTTAATGT